TTTACCAAACTTTAACCTTTGCAATAATTTCCGAACGTTTTATGCAAGGGCTTTTATATTTTACATGCGTATTTCATGTGTCTACATCTTTGAGAACATGTAGCAACATTTTCCTACCTTTTTACCTTGACAAAAAAATTATAGTCAACCAACTTAATTTTTTTTAAATGGGTGCTGGTGCTTTCATATTTCACATGCATATTCCTTTTAACAGAAACTTTTTTTAATTTGCAATCAATGTCTGTATGTCATGGCCTTGACTTTGGAGTATGATCTCTTAAAAAATTTTGACCATGGTCTTTTTCTGAGTGTCTTTTTTCAGACTTATATATTTCCCATTTGCATTTCTTGTGATAAGACCTTTCTTTTGGGTACCACCAGTTTTGAACTCTTCTTGGAGTTAGGATTTTTTGCCTACATTGGCCTTTGACTTTGGGGTACCATATGCGGATGCATGGATTTTGTGTTTCACAAACAATCTTTTTTGATAAAAGATACAAATTTAATTTTCAACAATGTTATAGATCTACGAAAAAATATGTAGTATATACTTCAAATAGTTGAACTGAAGTTATTAGTATCCCAGAATTATGTAGATTAAATTCCAAAAAGTTACCCTTGGATTAGCAATTGTAACGTTGTGTACTTATAGTAATTACACAATGTATAGCCTCAACAAAATAAAAAATCAGACGATTATGTTTAAGCGAGTTTTTTTACAATGGTTCCATTAGAAATATGCCAATTGATATTATTATACTATTGGTGCCTGTTACATGTACATCGACATATGGGCTATCCTTGAGTGAGCGCATAAACATGCAAAATGTAAGACCCCATCACTTCTAGAACGTGTTTCTCTAATCATGTCCATCCAATTCTTCTTTTAATTTGAAATGCATAATAATATATGTACATCGTCTGTTCTTTACAATAAGCAATACGTTTTATTCGAAAGTTGAGTTATGGTAGCTTTAATGCAACTACACTTCCGAAAGAGGGAGCAAAAGAGGAAAGAAGGTAACTGTATACATATTGTCGGTAAAATGGTTATTTTGGTCGGTGACCTACCATGCAAGGACAGGGTACATTTATCATGTTGTAAATTTTGTATTTACTAGGGGGAGGTAAATGCAAATTTTACAACAGTTATCATGTTGTAAACTTTGCATTTACCTCCCCCTAGTAAATTAAAAATTTACAACATGATACATTCTTTAACAGTATTGTAATGTATAGTTTATTACCAAGAACAGTTCATAGGTTTAATGTATATACATAAATCAGTTTGTACAATACATGTATATACATGTTTATAACCAATTCAATATCATTTTTGACCTTCAACTACCGAAATATCGAACAAATCAATTTAAAAATTCTTTTCATTATTCCGGTGTTCATTTATGGAACAAATTACCTTTGTACATACGTTTTTCACAGAATTTACACACATTTCGTAAAAATGTAGAAAAATTCATAATAACGTGTCGCAACTAAAATCTCCTGAAATCTATATGTGCTTGTATTTTTACGTCATGTTGTATTATTTATTATTGTACAATGATTTTATTATTGTATTATTGTGTACATGCTTAGAGGGCCCCGAGGAAGACTAGTGCATTGCACTAATCGGGTTACCCTCTTAAAATAAAGTATTATTATTATTATTATTATTATTATTTTTACCTTAAGTAAAGCAGGATCATAGTAAAGAATCTTACCGTAGTGTGGTACATATTACAGTAGGTGAGTCTACGTCCTGAACACAGGCACCTGAAGTTACTTATTTTTATTTTTATAAAAAATATACTTCTACTAGGTAGTCGGTAAATGTTTTTATTATTTATTTATTTATTTATTTTTTTGGTAAATATTATTATAATAAGCGAACTACATGTATTAAAGGAAGTGATTCATTCAAAAGCAAAGGAGATTCATAACAGTTTACTTTTGCTTACAAGAGTACAAGTTCTTTTACACCCCTTCCCATCCATCAGATGCTCGAATTGAAATTACTACAGTAAATGACGAGATACAAAGAGCATGGTCCATGTGTCCTTTTTTGCTAGAGTTTCAATGGCGTCGGAAGCAATTTGAAATGGGGTTGGGGGGGTCTAATTGAAAGAGGAAAAAATTCCAACAAAAAACACTTGCCAAGCAAAACAAAAAGAGTATTTGTCCATAGTCCAAACACGAAAATCCTTAATTCGTGGGTCGAGTGGGGTGGGGTGGGGGAAGGTGGATCGAACTTCTTTCAGTACATTTTTTTCAAACACTACCACTTACCCTTCTTATACCATACACTGCAACGCGTCTGTTGAAATGGGGGACGGGGTGGGCTAAACCTACGACCCAATGTTCATTGCCTATCTTATGTCCATCTTTGCAAAACTAAAAAAGATGGGGGAGCAAAGCCCCCAAGGTTTCGACGCCTTTGCGTTTTGTGTCTTACAGTTACATGCTTATATTGTGAATATTTTATTCTTAACATATTATTTATGCATAAGCCTAAGTAAAGCGTGTTTCCTTGACTCAAGAAGTACAATTCAAGCGAGGCAATTCAAATTTCAGTTACATGCATATGTATAATAATCACCGTAGTCGTTCCAGGCCTGCTCTAAATTTTTATATCACTGTATTAGTTATTTATTTTCTTTTATGGTTGCCTGAATGTTTACCAAAAGAGGAGAATTTCCCACACGCTGCCATTTATAGACTACTTGGTCACAAGCGAGCTGTACATGTACATAGGTGGACTTTAGATCTTTATAAACTTCCAGAAACATGTACACCCATTATTTTTGTTGTTGAACAAAAAATCCCTCTCTCATCACTTTTAATTATGACTCATTTTCAAGATCATTCTTAACATATATATTTAGCTAATCACCGAACACAGCATGATACATGTATGTATATTATACATGTATGGAGTTCACTTTACGCATAGTGGACCACGATCTTTAAACGTTTTATTCATGAACAATATGATTCCTATTTCCAACTTATTTTGCTGTCTTGGATGATTTGATTATTTTTCATCAAAGAAGATGGTTGAACAATGCGTGCAGAATGCATATGGCTTCAGATACATAAAAATCATATTCCGTTTTTGAATTAAGTAATTACTTAAGAGTAAAATCCTCAATTTTGAAAATTGTGAAACTCTGATAAAACAAAATTTTTCTGCGATAAAACTTTCGTCAAAAATTATTCTTCTTTCAAAAACATATATGGAATGCGTGGGATTCGAACCCTAGCCATATGAAACTTGAGAAAAAGTTTGTTTTGAGGGTAACTCACTGACCACTACGCTACGTACATGTATCTCCTGATGAAGTTGGGTATTAAGCATGTTTTTGATATTGATTTTCGTAAATGGAATTCAAGTATTTCTATAAAAAATTATAAGGTTTTGGCCGTAAAATATACTTTTAAGGTATAATGGCTCTTTTACTCTATGTTTTTGTTAACAAAACATGTATATTAAGGATTAACTTTTTAAAAAAAATGTAGAGATGATCCGTTCACATCGAAAAATGGTGTCATAGTTTGTCATGGAGAAGATTGTCCTCTTTACTGTGTATTTGCTGTTTCATAGGCAAATATTTTAAACTTTCTGAGATTTTGTAGAAATTCTGAAATTGTAAAAATTTTACATAAAAGTATACATTAATGATTGATTAAATATCAATTGAAAGGAAATTATGCCATGTATATGCAATTGACTTTTAACGTCATATGTTGCACTAAAGGCATTTCGCTTTCCTTGTTCACCCACCTTCTTTGTCAGAAGCACCAGTGGCAGGTCTGATTTATCAAAGACACTTTCTACCTTTTCAAGTTCCTCGCCTCCTTAATTCCTCATTAAACCTTAATTCCTCATTAAAAATAATCTTGCCTCGCTTCCTTGAAATATACCATCTGCATTCATTTTTCAAGATTTCATTTCGTTATTTTGCTCTGCATAACGATACACTATCAAAACGCCTCAAATTTATAGAAACAAACAGCAACAAGGTTGGCATTTGTACATTTTTTATTATTCCATGGTTGTATATAAAATAATAATCTATGAAAATATGTACAAACTTACATGTAATAAAAATCACAATAAAGGCACCTTACCTTCTCCAGGTAGATCATAAAAATTTGGCCATGTTAGACTAGACATTTTCTAAATTTCATTATTTTTTTTTTCAAGAAAACGTGTATGCATAAAAACAAAAGATTGATTTTAAATTGATATGTATAGAACAGTTTGAAGTGTTTATGAGTTCCTGTTTACAAGGGTTAGAGTTTCTGAAGATTTCTTGAGTAATGTCTGCGTATATCAAACATGGCACGTGAAAAAAAATTCGTACACGTCCTGGTAGTGTACTTCCTTGCATACTCAGAAGCGTTAGAACTTAAAAGCACTTAAATTAAAATTGCATATATTATTGCGTATATGACCTACATATGAACGTTGTAATAAGAAATATATGTACATCATAGATAATATAGTTCTACATTAAATGGATGCCTTTTCAAGCGCTCTTGCATACATTCATTAATTTTCATTAAATAATATATGTACATTTAATTTTAAATCACATTGTCAAGCATTTATACATTTCAATTGCACTAACAAGAAACAATCTATTTGGCATTAATGGCACATAGTTACAGTTTACAAAGGTAAAAAATGTAACATTATACAATCATAATATAATAATGATAAAAACAATTCTTTAAAAATGATGATGACATCGTTCTGAGCATTTATACCAATAAACATGTCAATGAATTAATAAAGTCCTGCAGACTAGTTTTTCCAATTAATATATAATTCAAAAAGTTTTATTTACCTGAAGAATTCAAAAATTAACATACTGTATATTATAATTCAGATACATGTATGTTGTATATTTGGTCTAAAGTGACCCATGGTTATTTTCCGGTTATTTTTTGGTACTTACTTGTGTGGAAGACTTGATCAGATTTCAATTCAAAAAAACAAAAAAGAAAGATTTTAATTAGAAAATGCACTGTGATATTTAGATACGAGTCCAGAGAAGATAGATAAAAGAAGACAATGAGAGAAGAACCCAGCTAAATGTAATGGCGTCCGCTCCAGCTATCCTGCATTTCAGCGTGTCGTATCTGTAACAAAAAATATTATAGATTTTTACAATTGCATGATTAAAAAAAATTAATGTGAAGGGTGCATTAGCTGCAAGGCATCTCAAGAACTATATTTTTCTATGCTTAGTATTTTCAATTGTTCTGTTTACCGTATTCAAATATGAAACATTTACGTAGTCAGCAAACATAAACACGTGAGCAGCATACGATACCTATTGGGCTCTCCTCGTAACATTTTGTTATATTCCTCTTCCATCATCTGACCATCAAAGAACCAACTGAGGTCGTTGAAGGGGTACTCGTAACCTTGACGACACTCGCACTTGTACCCCCCTCGGAGGTAGCGCTGGGTAGGGGTCTGTAGAGGTAACGGTACACACTGCAAAAGAAAAATACATAAAAGTGCAGTTTTTAGTGCTTATTATGACTGCAGTGGTTAGAATGATTGCGGCTGCCTTAGACATCATAATACTTGTTGATTGACGTATTTATCTTTGAAAAAGAGAACTTGTATTTATCTCAAGTATGCAAATGCATTTCGTGCATGCGGCGAATTTAAAAATAAAAATACTAAAACAGAGATTTGAAAGACGCAAATAATAATTTAAGAATGGTGAAAAATAATTTTTGCATGCAAATTAAATTCTCGATTATAACAGAAATTAAAATTGAATTTTAGGGAGAGGTAATGTATTTAAAAAATTCATTTTGTTAACAGTAGATATAGTATGGAGAAATATACAATGAAGGCTGTTTAAGAATATGGCGACTTTCCTCGAGTTCATTATTGACACAAGGGAACAACCACTATACTTGTCACGTGATTATTCCGCCAGTGCCAAGAACGACCAACAGGAAAAAATTCCGCTCAGAGAAAATAAAGCAGTAGAGAAAGTTTATAAATAAAGAAAAAGCTACTTCATGCATACTAAGATTATAGTTGCAATAAATATATTGGAAAAATCTAAGAATACGTTAATACTTTCTATGTGGAAACTATAGTGAATATCGCCGGTTATTTGTGTTTAGACATTATATGGAGGTTTGGCTTCACTTACATATTGCGATTTAAAGTGACAACGCGCCGTGTTTTTAAATGCGTTCGCCACGGAATAATCTCCAGGACATTGGTGGATTTCTAAGAAGTCTAACTTGACATCAACTGTTACCACTCCACTGAAAAAGAAAAAAGAATAAGGGTCAGTATACTTGAATAATATACAAAAGTATGAATATTTCGAATGTAATTATATATCTGGACTTACTGGAATTCTAGTCGAGTCTTTAATGCATTTGTTCCAAAGAATGGTGCGATGTATGTGACAACCCACTCATCCACCATTCCATCGCATTTAAAGGTAGGCCTCAGCCACTCTCCGTGTTCATACTTTGGAGCAAAATACTTTAATGGGTAGTGCTCCCATCTCACTAAACTAGTGCCATTAGGATCTGAACGAACCATAGGTTTAGCGGTGTATTGCTTCAGGCCCTCGAAGTTCGTCTGCCACCTGGCCTTCAAGTCTCTGAACCACATCTTTTGAGTATATGGAGATTTCAGACCAGCATAGTCTATAGCGCGGAACTTTTCCAATCCGTCCGTATCTGCAGACATGTACGTGTATGCAAAAGGTCCGAAGTACTCCCGAGTGATACCATGTACAAATCGGGGATCCGTGTTGTTAACAGGTGGCGACATTCGGAACTTGTAGCGGTCAAAGAAAACGCCACTGCCTAGAATTTTAAAGTTGCTCATGACGTTAGCGAGAACCTCACCAAATATGTGTGTCTCGTTTAATCTCTTGTCTCCCCTTACGCTTCCGAAGTCTTCATATTCGTCGATGTTTTGAAGGAAATCACACAAGAAATGTGCCAACCTCAACGCAGTGCGGGCTTCGGCTTCAAATCGTTTGTCAGCGCCATACCCTGCATCCCCCGGTAAGTACAACTCATAATCTGGCTTTGTCATACAATTCTCTTTATTCGTGGTCTGCTTTCGGTATATAATCTTTTCCATTCTTGCGTACATTTCTTGATCAAATAGATCACGTTTGTGCCTCATAAATCTCTTCTCTCCTGGGTACCGTGGTATAAATCTTCGCTCCTGCATTCTTTCCTTGACTGTTTTAAATGCGGATCTCTTTGCCACCAACTTATTGACCTTCTTTGAGGCAGACCGTTTTTGTCTTTTCCCTGCATTATCCGTAGTAGATAGTTTTCCCATTGAAACACGCGGGCTAGAGTCAGCAGAAGAAATTACGTCAACAAATCGGTCCTGGAGTGTAGATCTCTTCTTTCTTTCCACAAAACTTGGCATCTCATTGGGAGGCACCATTTGTTCTAATATCAAAAACATAATATGAATATAATATTATTTGTTTTATTTCTTTAAGGATTGAAAAAAAAAATTCGTGAAAATTCGTGACTCACCTTCCACGGCCAGGCAATCAAACCAAGCGTCGTATTCGGACCCGGTGGCCTGCTCAATTTCTATCCCAAGGAAAGGTCCGTCGTGCCACCACGGGTAGTAATATCCGGGCTTACAAACACACTGGTAACCGCCCCGACGGAATCCATAACCAGGTATCACTTCGCACTGTGAAAAGAAAATGGAACTTTTATGTAACTTTGTCAGGAATAAAATTTTATGGATAATATCTTGAAAAAAGGCCACTACAAAAAAGAGAATTTTTTTTTTTTTTTTTTTTTTTGCTTGTCAACTTCTTCAGGTAAGTAAAAAAAAAAATTCCACTTATACATGTATAGAATGATAAACAGAACGTGACAAAATGTCTCCAGTTAGTAACCACAATAGAGAAAACTTGTCCAATAGGAATTTCCCGGATTGATACAGCGGCGAAATGTCCCATTAAGTTTGAGTGGCGCTGCAGTCGGTTGTTCCCAGAGGCCGCAGCTCTCGGTTTGATGTCGTTCAGATCGACAAGGGGGTTGATAGGGCGTCATGTATTATTCACGGACCTTTAGAGCTTTGCCTTAATTTACAGGCTCTGTGATTGATGTGTTGGATATTGCAATTGAATAATTAATATTAGTATTTAATGAAGCAGGGATGACTATGTATCGATTGGATTAGCACTATGTTTACCTGTTACACCGAGATTTAAAAGGTACAATTCCTAATGCGTTAGGAATTCCCAGGTTTCACTTTATTGTGATCAGGCATCAAAAGATTTCAACTTCTGTTTACGGATCAAATTTGTGATCTAGATGGATTTATAAATGCTAAATATCAATGTGTTTCAGATATCAGGGTTTTACCTGACTGAATAATAACAATAATCAAGTTTTGTTCCAGGTGGTTAAATTTGCGTTTCGTTTACTTTCTTATTATCTTTACCCCAAACAAAAAAAATGCATTTTTTCTCCTCTTCGATACAATGAAAACTAGAACATCAGTTATCATGGGAAATGGGTACATAATTTTATAGTATGTACAGGACAAACAAAAACTTCAACTTAATGCAGTTGAATGGCCGTTAATTAACTATATCGAGGATTATTTTCCTTAAGAGTTTATCATTGTATATGTTGCGTTGCTCTATATATGAATGGTCCATTTGCGTGACGAAGTTCCCATTGCTCGCATGATAAGCTTCAAACATGTTCATTTTTTTTTATTTCCACGGCATTATACAAATACAATTGCATGGTATTCCCATACCAGTTTGTTCGATTCACAAGAGGAATTGTATTTATACTTTTCTTCTTCATTTTAAGTGTAATCATAAAATTTATTACATTAATACATGACAAGTTATCGATAACATGTGACTGTCAACGATATTTTTGTCGTTATATAATGCAGATTCGTGTCCCATGAGTATTCCTTGTTTCATTGAAATTCTGTTAAATAATCATTGCATTGGTTGATATTTTCAACAAGAGTTAATTATTGTGAATCAGAAACACAGGAGAATTCATTTGCAATTTCTACATAATGGGAAAACAACATATATGGAATTTAATACGTTCCTCATACTATTAAAATTTAGGGTAGATTAGGATAAATTACTTTTCATAAATGCATCAAATTCTATTTTGCTTTTCTCGTTAATTACAAATATTCATACAGATTAGTAGAGGTATGTTCAAAAGAAACTTACCATTGTGGTAGGTTTACATCTGGCCGTGCCAGCAAAGAAATTTGGTTCTGGATTGCCATCACTGATGGGACACGGGTTAATATCTATTCTCTCAAACTCTATATCCATGGCTGATACTGCTACAGTTCTGTCAAAAGAAAATGCAAAAAAGGAATTATTAAACTGAAACATTGTACTGCAGGACAATCCGATGTTTTCAGAGAAATTAATACCCATGGTCTGTGCATACAATATCTGCAGAGTCTTAATTCCCTGGGTAAATCTGGTTTTTGTTGAATAAACTCCACTATCTGTACAGAGGATTGTTTTTGAGATTATGTCGTTTCTTAAGCAAACAAAACAACCTCCACGTATTAAGAGGGTGAATTGCATGAGAAAGAAGAATCGTAGTAGAGTTTGCACTTTCTTAAAAATACATACTGCTTAAAGATTAATAAGGGGATTATATTGGGATTTGATGATCAAATATCCCTGGAGCAGGTATAGTTCATTATGATTGAGTGAGAATTTCATGATGAGAAGCTATTACCTTGGTCTACGTAAATGAATGAATGGAGAGTATCGCGGCATGTACTCTACAACAGGTGCGCTGGCTGTTACTATCCACTTGTTGGACCGTCCACAGTCGAAGTAAGGTTTGCTCCACTGCACCGGAAGTGACGGAGAATTCTCCTCTCGGTCGTTAATTCCAGGCTGTGGCGGACCAAAATATGGAATTGCCACAAACTCGTTATCTATAAACGTCCCCGTTTTGTTTGAAAATTTTATACCCACTACATAAGTAAACTTAGTCAATGAATCCTGTTCTCCTGTGATATCTGGCATCCACGGAGAGTACCATGGGGCTGTTTTGTAGGCCTGGTTCGAGTAGTTCTTGTTCCACCCAGCCCCGTAATCATGAATATCCACCGTCCTGTTCGTGGGTTCCCGGAGATAGTTCGTTGTTTCAGCGTAATCATCCTCCCTCCACGCTTTTGGACCAAACAATGGCGTGGTTTTGTTGAAATCTAAAATTTTGTTATACCAGTTAGGATAATAACAATGATTGTCAAAAAAGATTGCGGAACCGTTAAGGAATCCTTCACTAGCAGTCACATCGGCTGTTGCCGACATATACAAGTACATCAGTCCAGGCTGAAAGTTGAAATCTACAGATCTGTTGAGTCTCTGGTAGATAAAACTATAGTAATGAGCCCTGTTCAAGGCCATGTTGTGCAGATGAAGAAGTTGAGATCTGTTGGAGTATATCACTGAAGTAAGAAGCATGTTGTAGCGCGGTTTTTGCGACACTGACGCGCCGGGAAGCTCCAGTTCATGTTTGGGTTTGGAGCGACAGTTCTCCTGGGTCACAGAAGACAACTTGTCCATAATCTCATCAAAATTGTCTGGCCTCATCCATTCAAAAACACTTCTCCCTGATCCGGTCCAGACGAAAAACAGGGCCAGAATCACGCAGGTGAAGGCACACCTGAGAAATCCCATCGTTATTTTGTTAAGTTTCCCCGAGTTTTCACATTATGTACTCACGGAGTGAAATAAGCAACGCTTTCTCACCTGCCTCACTTCCTCAAAATTCAAAATGGCGGTCGGAATTAGCTCACCTATTCAAATAAAAGAAGACGCTTTCATTTTGTGCGCATGCCTCAGGTATATGTTTATCAGGTGTGTCAACGAAAAGAGGCCCCAAAGGGGTATTTTAGGAAATGTTCAAATGTAATTAACGTCGGTAAAAATGCCAGAATGCATGCAATGGTTTAAAGTAATTGCTTTTCATGAATTAATGATAAACATGCATTTTTTGCACCTGTAATTATCGGTTTTTCCAGGTGTAAAAGCATGTCTCACCGCTGCTCGTCTTTCTGGCGTCGTGTTTACATTTCTTTGTTGGATAAGAAAATCAATACTAATATGACACACGTGGTTCATTACTACGCAAAATATTTAATTATTAATGAATCTGATATGGATGCAAAATACGTTTTCTTGTAAATGATCTTTGTCTCTGATTTTGCTTGGAGATGAAGAACCCGTGCTTTTACGTCGCAGGTCATTTTACCGTGTACAGGTAATTACACTGCAATGTCATGAGTCACGCATACCTTATTTGACCCAGATACAACCTTATTTCCACTATTTCATTAACGGCACACATATCCGTGTTTACATAAGTCCCTATAAACTTAGATAGTATTGTATTGAGCATTTATTTTGATATGGTTGAATACAGTCTTTTTCAAGAATTATAAAAATTATGTAAGATATTTTGCAATTCATTTTTTAAAACAACTTTTCCTCTGGGGTTCTCTCTGAATCATATATACCCTTTCTAATAATTTCAAATATTGGGGATATTGAGATGCGTTCTGAGGCTCAGTGAAGGTTCTTTTATCAATCGTCGATCATGGGAAAGAATTTAATTTGGTACAAAAAATAATATTCGCCGTTTATCCTTAAAATTTAACAATTTAATGATAAGTTCATGGTAATCCGTGGAAGTTCAAAAAACGTTTGTGTGTCTGATTTTAATCTGTTGAATAAACATGTTTACAAAATACAACCTACAGTTATTGATTTTCTCCGCGTTCTAAAATAAAAGACTAAAAAGTATACAGATAAAATGAAATATTTACTTAAGAATTTTATTATTTATTTATTTATTTATTTATTTTGTGTTCTTTGTCATATCTTTAACTAAAATTAATTTTACGTTTTAAAGAAGGTTTTGAGTTAATGAAGAAATTTAATCCACAGAGTTTTAATTTTAAACATAATTATGTTATGAATAAAAGTTCAGCTTTGCTAAATTGTTTTGAATTTGTTTAAGGTCCTGGAATTTACCGTTAACAAAAAATGGTGTACGTTTTTGGCTTGTTAAAAAAATAGTTATCTAGAATTTTGATTAGATAACTGTATTAATTGATTAGTCTTTGACATTTGAAAAGTTATCAAAATTAACGGAACATTGCATAGACGACAGCATAATTGGTTTTCTCAAATTTGCTTTTTAATTAATTCATTAATTAATTTTGGTGGCGGGTTAGCGGTCAGTGACTTGACACAGGTGTGACACTGTTCCACAGGTAACGGTAAACTGACCGTCGTCTCTGACTCAATGTCACGGTGTCGGAGACTGACAATAAGTGAAGTATCGGACAACTTAGGGTATAAAACAGAACGGGCGGGGAATAAGCAGTACTTCCAAAATTTACTTCACAGTTAGATATATCCGATACGAGAAATAAAACTCCCAGTCAAAATGAATCTTTCCGAGTCCAAAAGGCCTTTGGTGGAGAATGAAGAATTGAACAAGTCTTACTTCGGATATGACAACGAAGGTATTTATCAATATTAATGTTACATAATTAAAAAAACAAGTATATACTGACAAAAAGTCAGAGATACTCAAGCTGTAGAAAATGAAAATCAACTAAGAAAAGTCATTAATATCCTAAAATGGTATAATGTGGGCTATTGAGTTCAATCTTCTATTGAATTATATACATGTACATGAAACAAAATTCATATAATGAAGTTAATTAGAATAAATATAATTTATCGTACTATACGACGAATTTACGTTACTCACTTTCAGGAATATTTTATAGAGTATAGTAGACGTTTCTTGAATCAATAAAATATTTTTTATGTGGACATTTCATATACTTCAAACTATACGCTTTTTTAATTTTGCTTAATGACGTACATAAAAACATTTTATAAACATCAATCCAAATAGCTTGTTGCAAGTCGGAAGAAAAGTTTTTCAAAGTGGACGGGGGGGGGGGGGGGGCTCAGGGCTCCAAAAAGCCACGTAATTACCGGTATACGGGTATCTAACTGTGCGGCATGTACAGTACATATTCCGTTCGAATCCAAAAGAAGTTATTTAGGTTCCGTTACCAAAGCTGAAGAAAGTACGATTTTTTAAAATAAAAAAAAAAACGTATGAGGGAGAAATTAACAATAATTTTGCGCTATTATTTTACTGTCACTCAAAGTGCACATCATTTTCAGGCCCGTTATAGGCAATTTCAGTTTGGGGGTACAGCCATACATTTTTTTGCCACGCATTGTAAAACTTTGACAGATCTATAATAATGTATCTTAGTGTAGTCTACTTGTGAAGTTATGCCAAGTTACTTATATTGAAATCAGACCAACACTGCGAGAATAAGCGTTTCGAAAATTTGTTAAGAGAAGGACAATTAGAAATGGGGTAACCTGCGTCACCTTTCAGAGTAACCAGTGGACTCGTCCATGGATGCTTTGTCGGCGACTGTAAAAAGTACCTGAGATTCCTACGCAAATGAAAGCGCGAAATCTCTGTATAGAAACTGCATTCTCTATCCAGAGTTGTCTTCCGCTACGCTCACAACACCTCTGTCAACGCTCGTTGTACAAGATTCTTGTACAAATTTTAAACAGCGAAGATTCGAAATTTAAATGATAATTAATTATTGTAAATATTGATAAGGATGATAATTCATTATTTATTTTAAATCTATAATCACCCAAAAACGACTTATTTTCAAAGATTTTAGGGAACTATTTTGCGGAGTAAAAATTAATATCTTAATTAAAAAATCCTTTTAAGGTGTAAAAAATTAAAATAAAAAATGTTTTTCGATAAGAATTATAATTACACACAATTATAATTACAACTTTTTATCAAAAACATTTTTTTCAAGAATCTTGTATAACAAGCGTTGACAGAGGTGTATGTGGGAGAGAAGCGGGAACGACAACTCTGTATAAGAGAATGATAGAAACTGTTGCAGCTGCGACGCTTCACTCATTGTTCATACGCTGTAGAATAGAATCCGACTTTTAACACTTAATATTTTTGAATATACAGACGTTTTCAACATAAGCTTCATTTTTGTTTCTAGAAATATGTTTATCTACAAATATAATATAATTTCGTGTTTTTAAACTGAGTAAATCGATGACCTAGCATCGTTTTAGATAACTCAAGCCCCTCTAGGGCTTGAGTAATAAATAAATAAAATTTTGATAAATTAAATTCTTTATTTTAACATTAATTTAGGGTGAATTCACCATGCATCGGATACCCTTGTACTTCAACAAGTTCTAGCGATATCGCTACCGACGGAAAATTATCAAAATGGAGTTTAACATTTAGTTTGTGATTAAAATATCAATTTGGGACACAATTATATGCCCTTTATTTAGAAAATATCCTCAAAAATCGAGTTTTTAGGAATAACTCAAAATTCACCATGGAGTTCGGACATTGTTTACCATGCATTCGGACAGACGGTATTTTGACTGGATAAATATCATACCTTTATTAAAGTGCTTTAAAATCCTTGATATGGATATATTTTTATCTTTTATCTAAGAATTAACCCTCAATTTAAATCTAATTGACGATATCGTTGCACAAATGTAGAACGATTTAAGAGACCTCACTCTGCCTTAAAAATGCTTTAAAATGCTTACACTGCGGTAATTCGCGCCTTTTTTCATGGTTTATCATACTCTGGTTTGTAGAAATAAATTGAGTCAAATTCCAGACGTCATACATCGATAACCTGTATTTTGACTGAAAATATAGAGTTTTTATTTTCCTTTTCCGCAAAAAACAGCTATCAGCTGGGTTCTGTATGAAAATGGTATTGCTTACTCTTTGCATCGGAAAGTGTCCGATCATGGTTAATTTGTGTCCGATGTACGGAGAAATGAACATACTATTGAAAACCAGCTTTTAAAAGAATTATACGAACATTGAAGTGAAATTTCTTTAAAATTTATGTAAAATTATCAATCTTTGACTTTATTCACCAAAGTCTGCCTCGTTCCGTTGAAGTCGAATTTTAAGAACGATAACTCTAAAAATCGCAAAATCTTAAATTCCTGGTTGTTCCCCTTTGATGATGTAAAATATGACGTAACTTCAAGGCCATTCTCGGGGTATTTTTATCACAACATGATAATAACAATCGGTATCATTAAAAAATTTAAGTCTTCAGCTTCAAGACAGAAACAAATAAATACACGGAACTCTTAAGTTGAAAGAGAGTTTATTGTCTAAAGTTGTCCGATGCAAGGTATGTGTCCGATGCATGGTGAATTCACCCTATATATAATATCTATTTTTCAATGAACAAATAAGTGCATATAAATTACAATGTAAATTTTAAAAAATGATAATTTGACATGAAATAAGTTGTTTTAATAATTTAACATTTTTTGTAGGTTGTTCCTCTGGTTACGACTCTGCTACTGACCATTCCAGTGCAGAAATCGACAAAGAGGCCGATACATCATTCTCCGAGGTCGACAATGGCGAACAACCAGCTGCTGAACCGGAAGTGATGAAATACAGAAGTACTCAGGAACTCTGCAACAGCCTTCAATACATCCTCTCATTTCCGGACCTCTGTGACGTCATGTTTCTTGTTGGAGAGAAGCGTGTTCCAATTTACGGCATGAAAGCCATTTTAGCCACACGTAGCCGAGTCTTCTATAATCTAATCCTGGATGCTCAGCGTCAGTCTCCTTCGTCCAAGAAGTCTAAAAAGAAGAATAAAGAAAACAAAACTCTTTCCAACCACCTTGTTATCGAAATCAAAAACTATCAGCCGGAAGACTTCAGAGAACTGGTGACCTTCGTCCATTGTGGGAAGGTCAACATAAATACTTCCAATGTGACGGGACTGTACTGTGGAGCGTCTGAGTTTGGTCTCTCTGACTTAAAGATTGCCTGTCGAGACTTCACAACAAGGACCATCAGGAAGGGCAACTCGTCGGCCATCTTGAAATCAACGAAGTTCTATCTCGCCCATCACCGTGCTGCTGCCAAATTCGTTGAAAAGATTCACGGATATCTGAAAGCCATCAATGACTGAACGAAACATCAGTAGAGAAACGTAACCTAACCCATAGGTTGCTCAGAAAGGTTCTTGAATAATAAGCTTGGTCAAGCAAAACCCTACTTGCTGTTCCCCAGCCAAAGAATGAAGAAGAAGACGACGACGAAGAAGAAGAAATTAGAAAGAGCACAACATTGAGGAGTTCCAATTTGTGGTCTCACCCATGATCGATGATTGAATGTCTTTTGATGAATGTTATCCTATACAAACATTTAAATTAATAATAATTGTTTTCTGTTGTGGATAAGTTTATGTTTTGGATATGTTTCTTATGGAAATAAAAATAAATTCATAAACAAACTTAATCAGGTCTTTGTGTATTCTTTGCAAAAGCTTTTTCTATATTTTTCGTTTTATATACAATTGGTTAAAGTATTTGTATTTCAATCACCAAAAACAACTTTGAGAAATTATTTGGATAATTTAAACTAGTATTTATGGTATATATTATATTATGTTATATTATATTATTAGTATTTTTGGTATATATTAAGAAGGTTGTTATAATTAAGAAATACACGGATAGCAATTTTCTAGAGATATATAAAAAAGATACTTGAAGTTCACTGAGAAAAATTCTATTAAATTATATTTGAACGCGCCTTGTATTTTCATAACTTGACAGAGAATATCTGCTTTATCTTAGGGATATTATGTATACACATAGAGAATAAGGAAATCCCAACACCCAATGAAGAGTACTACTCTTTTTGTTATATTGTGGTTTAATACTGTCGTTTACTGATTTTTATTTGAAAATTAAGATAAGCACACAAGACAAAGTACAATGTAATTGAAAACGTACACAGTTCGTAGCTTGTAGTTTCCCAATACAAGTAAATAGCTCTGATTTCTTAGCTGTCTTTGCCTCTTTGGACATTTTTCCTGAATAAATATGGCAGGTTATTTATGTTGAAAATAAACTAAGTAGATTCAATACGTAGACCTTATTAAGCTGTCATTTTCTCAAAATAAAAAAATAAGTTATAATGTTTAAAAATAAGAAACAAATTGCACTTCCATTCAACATGATCTTGATTTTCTTCAGTTGACATCTTTTTCTTCCATTGAGACCAATTTTGTTTTAAAGTCTTTCGTTACAAAATTAAAGACTTGATGGCTAATAAATGTTATTGATTATATGCAATAAATAAGATGTTAAGATGTTTTTATTGGTTCAAATCTTACATTTATCTATTTTGTAAAAAGCACCAAGTTCAGGACAGTAATCTCTCATTAAATTTTAATTCAACGGGTTGAAGGAAATTGCAAGTAAATTAAATATTCTGATGATAATTTTTTTTTATACACACAGGATATTTATATGCCCTCTGTATTCTTGAAAAGTGTCCCTTGTTATGAGTTGACAATAGATTGTAACTTCATTAAACAAAAAGAATTCATTTCAATTGTTTCATAAGAAAATTTTAAAGATTAACAAATATTAGAATTGAGTTCTACAAGCGCCGAATGTGAAATATTTTAAGGAATTTTTATAATTGATATTAAGTTTTTTTTCTCTTTTAAAAATATTGCATTAAGTATGATATAAAAGGAAACAAAAGACTTAAATTCTTTTCTACAAAAATGTATCATTTTTAATGAGTTCAAATCTTACAATTTACCAAATGTTTTAGTAAAAAGCATCCCGAAAGCTAGAACTGGAAAGGCCAAAACAGTATTGGATTTCATTACAAAGGCAAATGACTATGAATTGAGAAAATATGCCGTAGAGTCTACATATGTATCACCGATAATAAGTGCATTTTCCCTATGTATTTCATAAACATACATACAATGTAATAGTCTAAGTACTTTTTTAAATTCAGAGAAATTTTATAATTGATAAAAAAATTTTATTATTTTTACACACCATTGTATCTGCAGATTGTAGCTCTGGATATTAAAATCCCTTGTGAGAAACCAAAAGACATTGTAATTCTTATAACAAAAAAGACATTCATTTCAATTTTTAGCTCACCTGAGCAAAAAGCTCATTTTTCCGCACATCAGAATTTTCCTGATCAAAATTTGTGTAATGTTGTGTGTTGTCGTTGTCGGTTGTCGCGTAAATTTTTCACATTTTCATCTTCCCCTCAAGAACTACTGGGCCAATTTCAACCAATCTTGCTATACAAAGTATCCTTGGGTAAAGGGGATTCAAGTTTGTGCAAATGAAGGGTCATGCCCTCTTCCAAGGGGAGATATTCATGAATTTGTTAAAAATTAATGTCATTTACAAAAAATCTTCTTCTCAAGGACCACTGGGTCAGGAAACATGAAACTCATGTGGAAGCATCCTCAGGTAGTAGTGTAGATTCAAATTTATTTAAATCATGACCCCGGGGGATAGGGTGGGGCCACAATGGCCGATCAAAATTTTACATAGGTGTATATAGGGAAAATCTTTAAAAATGTTCTTCTCAAGAACCACTGTGCCAGGAAAGATGAAACCCATGTGGAAGCATTCTCAGGTAGTGTAGATTCAAGTTTGTTCAAATCTTGACCCCCGGGGATAGGGTGGAGCCACAATGGCAGTTCATAGTTTTACATAGGAGTATATAGGGAAAATCTTTAAAAATCTTCTCAAGAACCACTGTGCCAGGAAAGATGAAACTTATGTGGAAGCATTTTCAGGTAGTCTAGATTCAAGTTTATTCAAATCATGACCCCCGGGGGTAGGATGAGGCCACAATGGCAGTTCAAAGTTTTACATAGGAGTATATAGGGAAAATCTTAAAAATTTAAAAATCTTCTCAAGAACCACTGGTGCCAGGAAAGATGAAACTCATGTGAAATCATCCTCAGGTAGTGTAGATTCAAGTTTGTTCAAATCATGTCCCCCGGGGTAGCATGGGGCCAAAATAGCTGATCAAAGTTTTACATATGACTAGATAGGGAAATCTTTTAAAATCGTCTTCTCATTATTGTTCTCAAGTACTTCAAAGCCATGATTAGTGATATTTATATGGAATCATCCTCAGGTAGTGCAGATTCTAGTTTGTTCAAATCATAAACCCCAGGGGTAGTGTGGGGCCACAATGGGGGATCCAAGGTTTACATTAAAATATATTAGAAAGAAATCTTCTTCTCAAGAATAGCAAAGCCATGATTAGTGATACTAGTATTTATATGGAAGCATTTTCGGGAAGTGTAGAATTAAATTTCTTCAAACCGACTAACTCCCAAGGGTCATTTTCCTGGTGTAGTTTTACATAGAAAACATAAGGGCTAATACCAAGAACAGAAAAGCTATTTTTGATATTGACATGTAAGCATTCTCATGTCCATTGAGGATTTGAAATTTATTAAAAAAATTGGCCCTTTAAAAAGGGAGAAACAATGGGGATTCTTCAAATTATTATGAAGCTATATATAGAAGAAAATGTTTTTAAAAAATCTTTGGAGATATAAAACAGCAACCAAACATACATGTATTAATAGAGCTACAGCTTCATCCTTCTAAAAAGTATTAAAATTCAAGCCCCCCCCCCCCCCCTTGGTGACACTTTCATATCGATAACCAATTTGCTTAAGCCCTGGGCCTATTATTTCTTGCACTATATGCATCCCCGCACAAAGATTGGGCTGTGTATTGTGAAAGAAGGCCTGATGCATCAGTGTATCGCAACGTATTATGATATCTCTTGTTTTCTACTGAACAGGTTTCTTCAAAATTATTTTTTCTGGTCTTTAGGAAATGTAGATTTCGGCATCTCTTTTCTTCATAAATATCTTTTATCAAGTCCTTTGTATTTTGAAACCAAGATAAAGACATTCGGAATTTAACTTTTTTCTTTTTTATTTCAAATCAAAATTCAAATATTAGTAGTGTCGAACACCAAAATGTACTTAAAAGTAGCTTACTAAAATTAAATGAAAAAAGTTAGTTTGTGTAAACTTCTATAACAAGTGTGACCTATATAATCTAATAAATAATATTTCTAATATAATTTCTTTCAAATGTTGTCAAAAATTAAAATATTAAACGATCCAAACTTTAATTCTGAGGGACCTACTCATCAAAATGAAGGCAATAATTACTAGTAATTAACAAATTAAAAATTAATTATCGTGGCGGGATAGCGGTCAGTGACTTGACACAGGTGTGACACTGTTCCACAGGTAACGGTAAACTGACCGTCGTCTCTGACTCAATGTCACGGTGTCGGAGACTGACAATAAGTGATGTATCGGACAACTTAGGGTATAAAACTGGACGGCCTGGGAATACGCAGTACTTCCAAAGGGTACTTCACAGTTAGATATATCTGATACGAAAAATAAAACTTCCAGTCAAAATGAATCTTTCAGAATCCAAAATGCCTTTGGTGGAGAATGAAGAATTGAACAAGTCTGATTTCGGATATGACAGCGAAGGTATTTATCAATATCCATGTTACATAATTGAAAAAATAAATAAATAAAAATAAAATATTAATAAATTAAATTCTTTATTTAAAGATTTATAATATTTATTTTTCAATGAACAAATAAGTACATATGAATTACAATGTAAATTTAAAAGAATAATAATTTGACATGAAATAAGTTGTTTTAATAATTTAACATTTTTTGTAGGTTGTTCCTCTGGTTACGACTCTGCTACTGACCATTCCAGTGCAGAAATCGACAAAGAGGCCGATACATCATTCTCCGAGGTCGACAATGGCGAAGAAACAGCTGCTGAACCGGAAGTGATGAAATACAGAAGTACTCAGGAACTCTGCAACACCCTCCAGTACATCATCTCACTTCCAGACTTATGTGACGTCATTTTTCTTGTTGGAGAGAAGCGTGTTCCAATTTACGGCATGAAAGCCATTTTAGCCACACGTAGCCGAGTCTTCTATAATCTTATCCTCGATGCTCAGCGACAGTCTCCTTCGTCCAAGAAGTCTAAAAAGAAGAATAAAGAGAACAAAGCTATTTCTAACCACCTTGAGATCGAAATCAAAAACTACCAACCCGAAGACTTCAGAGAACTGGTGACCTTCGTCCATTGTGGGAAGGTCAACATAAATACTTCCAATGTGACGGGACTGTACTGTGGAGCGTCTGAGTTTGGTCTCTCTGACTTAAAGATTGCCTGTCGAGACTTCACAACAAGGACCATCAGGAACGGCAACTCGTCGGCCATCTTGAAATCAACGAAGTTCTATCTCGCCCATCATCGTGTTGCTGCCAAATTCGTTGAAAAGATTCAAGGATATCGGAAAGCTATGAATGGCTGAAAGTAGAAATTGTTGAGAAAAGTAACCTAACCCAAAGGTTGTTCAGAAAGGATCTTGAAAGATCAGCTAAGTCGAGCAAAACCCTACTTGCTGTCCTCCAGTCGAAGAATGAAGAAGACGACGAAGAAGAAGAAACCAGAAAGAGAACATTGAGGAGTTCAAAAGGAAGACAAAATTTGTAGACTTACATTACCAGTGAACTTTGAGTGAATATCTATTGATGATTGTGATACTATACAAACATTTAGATTAATAATACATGTACTTGATTCTGTTGTGGATAAGTTAATGTTTTCGATATATTTCTTATTGAAAAAATAAACACAAATTAAAGCAAACCTGATCAGTTCTTTGTTTATTCTTTGCAAAACTGTTTCTATTTCCTTCTTATGTTCAGTTGGTTAAAGTCTTAATCGGCTGACCAAGCACAACGAATTATACTGGGAAAACTTAGTTTTTATGGTGTGTATTAAAAAGGTTTTAGTTATAATTAAAATATACCAAGCTTTAACGGCGACACAAAGTAGAATTGATACGATAGCAATTTTCTAGAGTTATAAAAAGAAGTTTCACTGAGAAGTTAAATTCTGTTTAATTATATTTGAAGGTTCCATGAATTACGATAACTTGACAGAAAATTTATGTCTTTACTCTGAGTGAGATGTTGGACCGGTCGATGAGATGTTGGAGTGGGTCGATAGGTAAGGGTACATGTATTGAATACACTTACCCTTGATAGTGCAATAGTTAGGGGCTATGTATAAGTTTACAACAGACAGACAAACAAACAGGCAGACAGACAGACAGGAAAAAACAATTTACCACCGGGATCTTTCGATTCGGGGGCATAAAAAAATTTGGAAGTATCTTACGGAGTGTTTGAAACATTCCGGAAATAGGTACTCCCATCGTGTTCATTTAATTATTACCGTTCATTCATATACTTCCGTTTGGAAATGAACAATTTTTTCTGCACGATAAAAAGATGGAGATATAATATTCTGAAAGCGGAATGTTCATCGTATTGTTAGGTCTCAAGTTGTGTAAAATTTAAATGAACTGTTTTAAGGAAAATGATTTCGTGTTTTGTATGTAAACTGAATTCTCCAGGTAAAAGTTTTCAGAAGACGAGAATATGACTACAGCGGAATCTAATGACTCTATGACGGACACATTGTCGGCTATCAACATTGACCAGTTAACCAGTGCTGCCATGGGGGCCTTTGGACACAATGTAGTTGGACTGTATGGGCAAAATGAACCAGCCTCCACACATGCAACAGGTTCAAAATTGCCCTGATGTGTTCAATGTTAAAGATTTGAGTACTTAGTTAACATTTTCCTACTTTAAACAAACAGCTGATCAAATATCTTTAATTTGAAAATATAAAATTCTCACAAACTAGTAACATAAATCAAAGCAAAGAGATTGAAGCATGAATTTCATACCTGATTTTTTTTTATAGTCATTCCAGTCCCTTCGTCGTCAACAGTTATGACAAGTTTACCTCAAACTGTTCCATTAATGGTCTCTATAGGAATGGGAGATAAGCAAAACACAACACAAGGTAAAAAAGACCTCTGAGACATATGTATGCAATGTAAAGCTTAGAAAAATGTTTATGCCTTTTTTGAACACCATCTAATATGTTTTACGGTGCGACCATTGGGGTGAGCGCAGTTGTACCATCAAAACCACTTGAAAAATTGATCAGCCACTTCAAACATCAAGCTGCACGAGACATCTTGACTAACTGTGACATCACATGATGTCAGGGAGCTCGTCAGAGCTTATGGAGACAGCCTAGCATCAGGTTGAAACGATAGACCTAGTGCAATTTTGGTCGAAAAACATTGCAGAGTTATTTTTTGTTTCTTTGAAAGATTTCTACAAACTGAAAGCCATTTATGCTTTAGGCTATTATTTATTCGTGCAAAGGACATTGGTTAGTAAAGGAATTCTGGGAATATTTCGCAGAAAAAATTTGCCAGATGTATGTACAGATTTCATTCCAAATTTCCTCTGTTCTTACACATTAGTCTATTGAGCTCGCTTTGTGAGCGTAGCTTCACTACGCTCGCTATAAACCCTTTAAGAGAACTTATGACATTGACATATATACTACTTTTACAGGAACCCTGCCACCACTGAAGTCATTGATTCGACATACAGGGCTACAATCAATCCGTCAGCTTCTTTCCCCCATCACACCACCAAACCCTACCTCATCTATTGTGAGTACAACTGAACAGTCCCAAAGTTCAACAATAGATGGGACCAGCATCAAAGCAATCCCAGAATCCCTACCTGTTGATAAGTCCGTCCTCTCAGGTGTGTTCCCACCGGACTCCACTGCAAACTGTCACCAGACAAGTGCCCTGTTATCACAGCTGGCAACCCTAGCTCAGGGGAATGCCCAGGCCAACCAGCTAGAGGTATCAGGCATAGAAAATGCAGATCAGTTAGAGGGGATCGACAGTAGTTTTTTGCAAAATCCAAATTCTAATACAGATGCCCAGATAGCTGGTCTACAGAGCATGATCAATCTTATCCTGACCAATCCATCCTTACAGAACAGTGCAACATGTCAAGCACTTTTAAACATTCTCAACCAGTCATCTGGTGAAACTACAGCAAATCCAGACATGATCCCAGTCTCACAGAGTGTTGATATTTGTCATTTACTGAACAGTGATGGTTCTGTTCAACCAGTTCATTCCAGTAATGTGTCTCTACCAGCAATTCCATCTGTCACACAGTCGGTCGGATCTACCATTGCTTTGGCTTCAATTGTTCCCAGTATTCCAGTTTGCATTCCATCCACTCTTTCAGTAATCTCTTCTTCTTCATCCAACCAATCAACTTCAGCTCCATCATCTGTTGTCACGGAAACATCCCAATCTCAGCCAATCGATGCCTCACAGGTGACCTACCTAAGACAGCTAATCAACAGCCAAGTTTCATATGCTGATACAGCAACCTTGGGACAAACAGCCAATCAAATGATCTCTGTGAAACAAGATCCCTCCCTGGGTTCCATTCCAAACCCTACCCAGTCCCTGCTGATCAGTGGGGATCAGTTGGAGCAATTCTATGCAGTCACCACATCTTCTGACACTATGGCAGTGGAGGGATTACTGCAGTCAACCTCTAATACACAAGTGGCAGGTTTGTATTTATTACTGTTTTGGCACAAAAATAGATCATGAATTATTTAGTAGTTTGTGGATTTTGTTATTTGAGTATTTTTGGTGCCTAATTAATATTAAGAAAAAGTCGTAATGTATTGGTAACCATAGTTATGAATAAACACACAAAAGCATTAAAATCATTTTTAGGTCGGCACTATAAATTGGGAACCTGGAAACAAACATAAGCCTTATTAGTGTTTTGGCACAAAAAATAGATCATGAATTATTTAGTAGTTTGTGGATTTTGGTATTTGAGTATTTTTGGTGCCTAATTAATATTGAGAGAAAGTCATAATCAAAAAATATACACACTAAAGGTTGTATCATGTGGAACCTGGCTAAAGCAATGAAAAAGTAGTACACATTCAGTATATATTTTTTTAATGCTTACACTCAAACTCATTTTAAATTATACTCATTACAAGAAATAACAATTTTTAAAGTTACCAAATCACTCAAACATCCTCAGACTGCAGACTTAGAGTGTGGTATTTTATTTTCAGTGGCTACGATGAACTATCAGGACTATGCTGCCATACAGAACAGCCTGACTAACTTCCTCCAGTCGGCCGCGGACACTGATGATGTCACTCTCCCATCCAACCTCACCATAGAAAACATCAACGCAGCAATACAGTCAGAAGGTACTGTAAACCAACTATTATTCCCATCAATTTTATTTGAGAATCGTCAGGTTTAAATCAATCCACAGAGATTAATTTTTGCAACTGAGAAAATATATATAAAGCAAAATAAATGGTTCATGGTGATAAATATTTGCAAGTGAAAGTAGGTAGCAAAACTTGGAAATATTTTTCGCACGCGAATAAAAGTTGGTTCATGGTAGTCAGAAAGTCTAGGTGATCTTTGACATTATCAAGCCTTCACTCTCAAGTAAAATATCATACAAGTGTAAGGGAGCAGATGAAAAGGTGCATGTACTCTGTATATACTGGGTAATGAAAAACATAAACAATCCTTATTGTATAATATACTTTTAAGTGCATTATTCTTTTTTATCTTGCACAGATGTCCTTGATTTGTGAATACCCCGTAGATAGGTGTCTATTGATTCATGTTATTTATTGTAATTAACTTGTACATTTTAATTGTATGTATATACATCTGTAGTATGCTTGCTCAGTTGAAGTTTCATTATTTCAGATCTAAAAGTTAAGAAAACTTCATCAACACAAGATGTAGATTTCTCAGTAGACTGTAAGTTTCAAACATTTCATACAGGTATATTGATATTCACCAAATTTATTATTGTGATGGATTTTATTTATCAGTCAGTTATTTTTCAGAGAGGTGAGCATTGTAACACATAGACCTCTTATAAAAACCTAAATCAAAATACATTGCAGGTACCGGTACATTTCTGTAATCTATCAAAATGTCTAGCTTATTTTCTGCATCACTGATGTGCAACAGCAATTTTTATGTTGGAGATTTTGCACAAACTGTGTTAGTTCCTTCCTACTGTTGTCACTATGTAATAACTTTAATTTTCTCTGTTGTAGATTGTGTTACCTGTGACAGTTCTAAGTGCACCTGTCTGAGCCCCGTTCAGTATACACACATTACAGACAAAGTCATCCCCTCCAGGGCTCGACTCTCCATGCCAGGCTGTCTGGAAATCAGGCTCTCAAAGTCCTCTATGTCCTCACAGAGTAAGGCTTAATGACAATAAACACAAAAATAATGAGATGGATCAATGTTTGCTTTACCTTTGTCATATTGATGCTTCCTTATATGTCAGTCAAATATTGTTTTTATGCTTTGAGAAAAAGTAGTTCAGCATTGACATTGTAAAAATGTTAACCTGTTATTACATTTACCGGTAGATCATCATTTCAGGTACACATATAGAAAGAAATCTTGTCCTTTAATAAATTCATGTATTTATATAGTAAGAATAGAGGCAAAACTTGAACACAGTGTACAGTTACATCCCTGCTCTGTTGGTTTTCAGCTCCTGAAGGTGTTTATGCACTGAAATGTCTGGGAGCACATACTAAGTTTGGACCACTGATTGGGAAAGACATAACTACGTTAGAAACAGAGGGATTATTCCCGGAGTGGAGGGTAGGTCTGTTTAATTAATTAAGGCCCTGTATGAAAGTGTTTGGTGTCTTATAATAAATTTCTTGGTACATACAGTAAAACTCGATTATAAAGAAGTCACTGGGACCTCTATTTGGATCCAAGATAACTTCGCTGTATCTTTGAATTCACAATATCTGTGTTTGTACTAAACAAGCTTTGCTGTACATCCATCTTTGTTGTGTCAACATTTTTCTCGGACACAATAAAATACAACCAGATCAGATGACTTTCAAACTTCATATATTCAAATTATTGATGATGGGACTTTCACAATTCATTAGCATCCGATCAAATTGGATTGAATTAAATTGGATTTACTTTCAGGTAATGGCAGACAATGATTGTCACTATATTACAACTGATGATGAAGAACAGAGCAATTGGTTGAGGTTTATACGGCCCGCCCAGAACATCGTGGAGCAGAACTTAGTCGTTCATCAGGTGGGACGGTCCTTGTTCTTCTTTGCCAAGCGAGACATCAGGGAAGGGGAAGAACTCTTGTACTGGTTCTCAAAGGAGTATTCTGTGATTTGTGGTAAATGATAAGAAACTTAGAAAGTACTTAATTCTAGACTTGATTAGGAAGATAATTACTAAATCAATGAAGCACTCTAATGAAAGGCATTTTACTTGTCAGATCACCTTCAGTGCATAACATGATGTCACAATGGTAAACTTTGTTGAGAAAGTCTGAAATTTGAAGTAAATGAGTAAATATAAGTGTTAAGACTAGTAATATGTGTATAAGCATTAAATGCTCATTTTTAGCATTTCATTGTCATAAATTACACATGGTGATGTGTACATAAAAATTTTCATCATTAGTATACATTATTCAGTTTCTGATTGAAGATCTTTTACAAGTTAAATATAACAAATTGCCCAAATAGATTTCCAAAATGAAACATTAGTTTATATTTAAATAATTTTTCTTCTAAATATAATGATGTATTCTTGATGTAATATTTCTAACTGTATAATAAGTAAATTATCATATCCTTGTTTGATCTCCTACAGGTTTCTCACTGATCCCTAAGCCAGGCAGTGTCAACGAGTGCCCAGTCTGTGCCAAAATGTTCCGTAAGAAGCAGGGCCTGAGACAGCACCTTACTGACGTACACAAGGAGGCCCTCTGTAATCCGCCGGAGGATAACGATCTGTTCAGTCTCAAATCCAAATCCAGGAAACAGAAATCCGATCCTTTAGAGCTCATCACTTGTCCATTTTGTAAGAAAGTCCTGGCCAGTAACAGCAATCTCAAAAAACATTTAGCCGTCCACAAAGGTAAGGCCATAAAAATCCAATGTTATACATGTATCAAGTATTATTATCATTGATTGATATTCATGATATGTCCATCCTATATATGAAATCCAAACGAAGACATATGAAGGGCATAAATTAATAATTTTTGCAACTGAGTGATTGCATCTAACTACAACCATGACTAATGTTACTACATATAATTGGTTCTTGGCAAAACTAAAAGTCAGAAATTCAATCTTTACTCTTGTTGTATTCGTGTTTATTTTGTAATTATTTTACCGTCTTTAAGATTGTTTGAATTAATGATTTCCCATTTTATGACTATAACGTTTTTCTGTAAAAATTAAACATAATATCGTTGTTTTGTAGTAGTATTATTTTGTAATTTTAACAAAATTTTCGTTTTAAAAGAAATTGGTTTTGTTTAATTAACAAGTATTAAATGATGCTACTTTGTTAAAGTGTGCTTTGGAAAATTGTAAGCACTTTATACAGAGTTATCCCCTTTTAATGCAAATGCATTTCATAAAAACATTTTTCGTTACTATTTAATTGGAACATAATACTTAATTCAGTCAATGAAACAATTACCCACACTTTTTAAAATTAAAAGAAAAAGATTTTCGGCTTAGTTTATAGAAACAGATTTAAGATAATGTACCTTTTTCTTCCAGGTGAAAGAAATTTTCAGTGTGAATTTTGTCATAAATCTTTTCGACAAAAGGCTCATTTGGAATCTCACATGGGAATTCATAAAGTGGAAAAACTTAGGTGCACATTTTGTGATAGGACATTCAATCGAGACACAGATCGAAAACTCCACGAGAAAATCCATACAAAAACTGGTCTATTTCAGTGCGAGTCTTGCGATAAGACCTTTACGAAAAAGCAAAACTACAAAAGACACATTCTCATTCATACTGGACAGAAAAACTTTCACTGTGAGTTATGTGACAAAAACTACTACACAAAATACCATTTACAGCGTCACAAAGCCAAATGCCGAGGGGGTGAGAAATATCCAATGTACTTGGAGATGGAGGAAACAGTGTATAATGGGAATGAAATTCTCGGAGTAGACAATAAGAACAGTCTTTAGTGACAATTATTTAGTAATGTTTAAGCTACATGTTATTGTCTTTATGCATTCCACTCCTAAGCCCTTGTGTGTATGTGTGTGTGTGTGGGGGGGGGGAGGGTTTAGCATCAGAAACAATTTGGTCGCTAAGATTGATAGCAAAGATGAATCATGCAAAGAGGGCTAGACAAAAGCATGTTGTTTTGTATCAATTTTTTTCTTGTTATTTTGTGAAAAATAAGGATATTCTAGTATTAACTTTTTTCAGTTTACAAGAATAGAAGACTTCAAGTCTTCAGTATTTTATTTAAAGTGTTGTTTATAGTTATTTGTACACATTTTAAAGTGTACCTTTCTGAAATAAGTCATGTTGTTTGTTGAACTTCAACCCTAGTCAATGCTTAGTTATCTCCTTTGTCTTCTACTCTCTAGCTAGCTCATCAGAGCCAGATTTTAAGAGTCAAGTTTTTCTAATAACTTTTTTGAAAGTTTGTATGCTAATTACTGTCTAATAAGTTAACTCTATTTTTATCTCTTTTCCAATACAACTAGTCAACTAATATACTTAAATTTCTAATAAATTTGTTAAAAAGCATGCTTGGATAAGCAGGAATCAATTTTTTTCATAAAAGATGACAGTTGCCCATTTGAAGGGATATAATGAGTAATTATTGTTACATGTACATCTTTAAAAAAGAATCTTCAATATTCATGGAAAATGCCTAATTTAATTATTGTCTAAGGAATGTGCATGAGTTTTTATCTCTGGAATAAATGCAATGCTATTGTCTCACAAAAATGTTACATGAAATTGTACAAGCATTAATATTTATTGTTTTTGTTGCTTTTATATTAAAACTTTAATTAAGTGAAAAGGTATTTCGTTTTACTTGTTATTGGCTAAAGTATTGGTACTTGTATGGCCATAGAACTTTACATATAAAATAAATAAGCACAGAATTGATCTTGCAGTAAAAGGGGGAGGGGTGGTGGATTCTCATGAGTACTCTGAATAGAATTTTTCTTTAATATGACAGAAGACATTCCTGGAGTGCATACCTCTGCAAACTCTACAGTTGTAAAGGACATCAAGTACATTTACATATGTATTTTATTGATTGTATGTTGTTTTACATCCCATATCAGAATTTTTCACTCAAACAAAGACATCACATATACCTATTTAAGGTTTCAAATTAAACCTTTACTCAGCACTCATGGCCAAGATTAGAACTCGCAGCTTCCCTAGGAAGATGTACATGTATTACATATTTAATGAATATGCAATATTTCAGCTTTAAGCATATATTCTGGGTTGACCTTTTCATGTTATCTTCTAGCTAAGAAATAGACTAGTAATAAACATGAAACTCCAAGATTGTTCATTTTTTGAAGGGGGGGGAATTGTTAATGAGAGTAAGTGTTTCATTTATTTACATCTTGAACTCTCTGCACAGGTACTTCATGCATCAATTTTGCCGACGAAGTTGACACGATTTCTTAGTGATATATCTGAAGATAAATTTCATCACACACAAGAAATTTACTCTCAGCTCAGTAACCAGCAAGAATTTTTCATTCTAACTGCATCTGAATTGCTCAGCTTCTCACATTTTTACTGGCTTTAATAATTGAAAACAGAAATGCATATGTACTTGATTTCTTTGCTTTATTCTGATTCAAAATAAACAAGTAAAGGTAAATAAATCTAGCTGTAAAAATGTTTTTTCAAGAAATGAACAATTTCCTTTAAGTTGTGGCAGTATTTTGTGTACCAGTACACGGTCAATTCAATTTTTTATAAACATAAAGACATAAACATCAAATCAATGTATATACAGCTTTTTTACTTGGCAGGTAAAATGGACTAACTTTCAAGACAGTACCTCCATAATAAACAGTTCAACAACTTCAGATCTCTTGTAAATTATTATTAAATGAATCTTTTTTTTTCAACTTCAATGATTTACATGACGAAACAAATAACTCAAGTTTTGCACTAATAAAACAAAAAAAATAAATGTAAATATATGTACGCAACAAAAATGGAAAATCATATTTACCAAACAAAATCATGATACAATTGTATTACAAGCTATTTGGCCTTTTCAGATAAATATTGTTTTACTTTGGTAATCAACCAAAAATAAGTATAGTATGTAAATATTGATGGTTTCTGCAGATGTACAATTTTCAATGTAGAATTAAAATATATGTTAAGTATGCCAACAAAATTTGGCACAACATACTTAAAATGTAAAAAGACCATACAACGACATCCTCCACCCCCCCCACCCCCAAATCCAAACAATTTTTTACCTGTGGATTAAACAGAAACTGTGATTAAGCAGAATTAGAATCCATTACAAAAATGTAAAGTTTATGGTATTTTGGTAAAATATGCGGTTGAGGTGTTATTTGATTGTATTTAGAACAGTACGTGCTTTTATTGCAATGATACAACTATGAATGGAATCAATAAAATTTACTGACACAACGTATTACACAAATAATTTTAAATCCATCCTCACTCATACCCATATTCTTGGTCATATATATATATTAAACTGTATAATACTGAACAATATAAACACCTAGTTTAATTTACAATCAACTATTAGCATATACCGGTAGACTCAATATGTCAAGATTTCAAGACAACAATTAATATCAAAACATAAAGTCCATTAATGAAAGAGAAAAAAAAGCTTTGTACTCTTCTACAATGTAATGTCAACAAAAAGTGTAGAAACATTTAATGATACTTAAAAAAAAGTAACCAAAAATACTCGCACACAATTCCTAGCACCAATAAATGCTCAAAAAAACATGTACATTTGTAAATCTAATTTAATTATCAAGTGTTCAATTATATATTACATTAGTCCTTTCAATGTATGTATATACTTGTAAATGAACAGATCATATCTGTATCAAAACAGAAATATCATTGAAGAATGCTTAGTATTCCTGAGATTTTAGTTCATCAACCCCCAAAAAAGCATACATTAAAAAAAAATGAAGGAAAAAATGGACAAAGGACAATCAATTTAAAATTGACAAAAATTTGTTCCTTTTTAGTTCCCATTTTTTAACAGGCATACCAATTATAAACAGATGACATTCATTACCAAACATTCACACTGAGTGTTGTTGAGATTTCTGTTGTCCATTATTCTGTACCAAAGTACTTCTGTCCGAAATGATTAGGTGCTACAGGGTGGACCTCTGATGTCAAAATGGTCACTTCTGGATATTTATTCTGGACCAAGCGAACAGCTGAAAGGGTTGTAGTAATATTTTTCTCTTTTAAATGCACTTAAAATATCAGAAATTATTCAGGGTTAAGAACCAATGGTTTTAACTATTCAGTCGACAAAGTTTGCATAAGGCAACAATGGGCCTATATGCATGGCAGAATTTACAATAGTGTACCAAAGGAGAGAAAATATTTAAGTTTATAGTAAAACATGTTTATAGCATGTGCGCTTTTCATGAAGGGATTTTCATTCCTGTGACTTTAAAATAAGTTGAAAACTTAACTGATATAACAAATTATGCTTATACATGTAAAAATTAAAGCAAAATCATTCATTCTTGGTACAGTGGCTTCCACTTAATCGGATAGCGGTTAAACGGATATTTCGGCTATTTCAATATAATATTAGAGCACAAAACCATTTCTTATATATTTATTAATAATTTCACCTGATATTCTGATAAGAAAATATAAGAATTTCGTTTTATCTGATACAAAAATTTGACCATCGTAGTATATTTTGATAATTATGACCTTGTTCACACACGGCTGAACGCACGCAGTCACCTTATCTGTGTTAATAATTCGCACACTAGATTGATATGTTTTGATACAGTTATAATGATCAGCTTGGGTTTATATTACTTTTCAGTGATTTACTCAATAATTATGATAATTGTTTGCAATTTTTTTGTTGTTAGATTTTAATTATTGAACATATTAGCTTGTGTATGACAATTTGCTGGGACACTGAAATGCATCATAGTTACAGGACTATTTACTTGAGAATTGTCACAAACAGTATGATATACATAACCATATTAAAGAAACAAATAAAACAAAACAATTTAATATTTTTGTTTAATATTACTGTACCATTTATCCTGGAAAAAATAAATTACGGAATAAAGTCAGGCATTTAGTCTACTTCCGTTTCCAAAATGGCGGCCATCGAAGAAGGAATGTAAACATGTGCTGATTAAAGATGGCAATAACTACTAAAAAACAATTTTTAGAAGTCATTTTATTAGAAAAATGTTATCACATTAAATTAATAAGTAAGTTTAACATTTTAATTTTGGAGAATCGCCAGGTAATTAAAGTAATCAAACGAAACGAAAGTGCAAGTTTGAAATTTCTACGATGTACATGTATTGTCAATACATGTAGCTCTATACATCTTTGTTTGGACTTGAAATGGAGCAATCGGCTACTCGAATATTCGGCTATACTGATAAAAGAAGGCTGACAAATTTACTATTGGATTAAGCGGGATCCACTGTACTTTGTTGTAATCTTCTTTTACCGATCGACTGCTCAAATAAAATAGAAATGAGTTCTAAAACCATACATGTGTGAGATTGTATGTATTTTATCTAAAATTACCAACTAACAAGACAAGAGCCTGCTTGAAACTAAGCCTAAGATTAGTCACTACCACTCTGTCATGTATTAATAAGCTTACCCTGTGGAGTTGTGAAGAGATTCAGTAGGATAATGTTTTCCTCTGGTACTTTGTGGTCTGTGAGAATTGTACAGGCCTTGACTACAGTGTTCCCTGTACCTGGAAAATACAACAAGAGGCCAACGGGCCTTATAGGTCACCTGAGTATTGTATAACAACTTTCAAACAATTAAATTTGGTTCGTGTTTTAAACCAGAGGCCATGAAATTCACAATTCACAATTTTGAAAGAGGCACCATTGCTTATCATAATTATTAACTTAGCATGCTTACTCTATTTACTTAATACCCAGAGGTAGATCAGAGTAACAAAGAGAAAATGCACTTCCACTTTATACCCAGTTGTGCACCTCACCCAAAAGGAAGCACTGACCCAGGGGCCACATATTTCAAAATTTTGCAAATTTCATCATAAAATGGTTGATTAATACCAAAGCGCTGATTTCAAAGCATTAATTTATTTTCAGACTACTGTAAATCACTTTTTATTCGCGAGAACTTTATTTTCGCGTAATTACGCGAGACGGTATGCTCGCGAAAATTTCATTCTCGCGTATAATAGAATTCCTTAAGATTATATAGAGCAATGACCACAATTCGTGAAAATTTTGTCTCGCTAATAAAGAGTCATTGACTATCTCGCGAAAATAAGGTGTCGCGAAAATTAAGTGATCTACAGTATGTAAACCCCCCCTCCCCCCCGACTCAGGGGGCATAAAAAACCACTTTGCTAGATGCACCTTTCTTCATCATAAATATATATACTTGGATCATTGGCAGAAAACCCAGAAGCAAAGGAAAATATTTTCAAAGAATAATGCATTTTCACTATATAATCAGTAGAGCCCCGCCCTAACACCAGAACCCCTGACCCTGGGGCCATAAAATTCACAATTTTAGAAGAGGCACTCTTGCTCATCATAAAGATGTTCTTACTTAGTTTATTTGATACCCAGAAGCAGAGAAGAAGATTTTCAAAGAATAAATGCATTTTCAGTATATGATGAATAGAGCCCTGTCCTAACACCAGAACCCTGACCCTGGGGCCATAAAATTCACAATTTTGGAAAAAGCACTCTTGCTTATCATAACAATGTGCTTACTAGTTGGTTTATTTAATACTCAGAAGCAGAGAAGAAGATTTTCAAAGAATAAATGCATTTTCACTATATAATCAATAAAGCCCCGCCCTAACACCAGAACCCCTGACCCTGGGGCCATAAAATTCACAATTATGGAAAAGGCACTCTTGCTTATCATAACTATGTGCTAAGTTAGTTTATTTAATACCCAGAAGCAGAGAAGAAGACTTTCAAAGAATAAATGCATTTTCACTATATAATCAATAGAGCCCCATCCTAACACCAGAACCCCTGACCCTGGGGCCATAAAATTCACAAATCTGGAAGAGGCACTCTTGCTCATCATACCAATGTACTTAGTTTATTTAATACCCAGGAGCAGAGAAGAAGATTTTCAAAGAAATAATACATTTTCACTATATAATCTATATAGCCCCGCCCTAGCACTAGAACCCCTGACCCTGGGGACATGAATTTCACAATTTTGGTAGAGGACTCAATGCTCATTACATTCAGTTTGCCTGCTTGATGTCCAGGAGTAAAGAAGAAGATTTTTAAAGATTGCAATAATTTTAGTAGTTTTGGCCCCACCCCTCAGGCCCCAGGGGGGCGAGGACCATGAAATTCATAATTTTTGTTCCCCTTCATCCATAGATGCTGTATACCAAATTTGGTTGAAATTGGTTCAATGGTTTAAGAGAAGAAGCTGAAAAAGTTCAAATGTTAACACGTGACACACGACGGACGACGACGGACGAAAACGGATAGCAATAGGTCACCTGAGTTACTCAGGTGACCTAAAAATGAAATGTTCTAGCTGGTGTGCAGTTCTAGTAAAGGCAAATCTTTTTCCAGTCCAAAATGACAAATAGTGACAGCTACATGTACATACCGGTATCTCAGAAAGCTACAGTATATGTTCACGCTTTCCAATAGGGGAATTATTGAGGTAATTCCTACAGTTTTAATTAAAAACCTAAGATGGTGAGCCATTAAGAAAAAAAACACCTTTCTAGCTATCAACTTGCTAAAAAAACACCACACTTACTCAGGATGGGGTACATGAGGAGCACCTTGCGGTCAGCTATATCAGGGGGCAGTTTGGCGTACACTATCTTAGCCTCGTGTGTGTCCTCATCACTCTGTATAAGGATTTTTCCGATACGTATCGACCTACAACAGTCTCGCAGACCTTGCTCCATCGCCTCTCCTGTCAAACAAAATGGGTACAGTTTACAAAACTAAAGATTCATTTACTGCCTGAAGACTTGTGAAGCCTAACCTTGCAGGTCCATGTCTGTATATAAGCCAAGAAGAAAGAGGGTGTACAAGGCGTGGACAATCCCCCGCTCTGAGACAAAATGTTTCTCAATTTTCAAGATTCACAGAAAAGTTATATTTTTCTAAAATCATGTTCTCAGTAATGTCATCTTCAAAACATTTTATCATATAATTTTATTTTACTGAACAACTTATCATTTGATAATTTTTTTTCAAAGTTGACAGTTATGGATATTTAGTGGAAAATGGGTTTACTAGAGCTATAAAAAAATGAATTTTTAACATGAATGGGTCAAGTCTCCGTTCTTCGTTAACGCTTAAATGATGGAAACCTAAATGTGAAATCTATTTCATTTGTCCAAAAAATGGAATCTGAACCCATTCTATATGAAAATCGAACATTTCTGAAAAAATGTACGCTTCTACAAACCCGTTCATTTAAATCACACTGACAGATGTCAATAATGTACATACTTCGTAGAGTAGTGGTTAAAGCGGTCGGTCTTGGACCAAACCATGCGCTATGGAGAGAGTTCGAATCATACATGAAGCTTTTCCTTTTTTGTTTTCACATATCTTAAAAACATGAGTAAAAAAAGAATTATTAATAAAATATTAAAACAATGAAATACAGAATTAAATGTGTAAAATATGATATAAACCATATAATTTTGAAAAATATAAATTTTAGAATTGAGAAATGTCTTTTCTCAGAGCGGGAGATTGTCCTCGCCTTGTACGCCTCCATTCTTTACTTCGATTTGAAATGAAATAAAGTATGAAAGTGATGAAGAAACCCCCCTAAAAACTTAAACATTTATAAATTTGTTTTTCATTACAGAATACTGTACTAGCTGTAACAGGTAATTAGACTCACCACTTCTCATGATGCTGACCCCACAGTTTCCTTTCTCATACCTTAGACCACTGTATACCTGTCCTGTAATATAATCCAAAATATCTGTTATTATTCACAGTTTTTCAATGCACTGTATCTTTTTGTCTGTTTAATTTGCATTAAATTTTTTACAAATATTTGAAAAACATATATGTTTCAAATGTATTAATTAGAACATAATTGTTGAAAAATATGAATTTGCTTAAAATTAAGCAATTCTGTCTGTATTATAAATCTTGGCATTCAATTAGTTTAAATGACATATACATGTACATATGTACATGTATCTCTTTAAATAGGATTTTTCTGACATCTTATTATCCAGTGAATATATCATGTAGTAAGCAAATTTATGTCTAACACATATGATTCCTTATGAGAATGAGCAGCAATTCTACAAGAAACGTGAAGTTAGACTACCCCCAGTACCCCCTCCCTCTCTGTAATGAAATCTGACACTGACCAGTAGGAGTGGTGACCTCACTTGATCTGTAGGGCAGCTGATTAAGACCTTCCTCCACTACAAGGCGAATCTGGTGAAAAACAATGAATTAGAGTGTCAATAATATAAAGTAACATTTAAAATACATGTAGGCCTATTAATAGTTGATGACATGTGAGGTATCATTTTGGAAATATGTAAGTGTTAATTGAGAAAAATTCCATTCTGTGATAATTTAAAAACAATCAGGTAGTTGGAACAATTATTACTCTTAATTTTTCATACATATTTTCCTCACCAATCGATCTGCATAAAAAATAAAATCCCCTCTTGACGTTGATCTAAAAATAGAAAGTTCACTTGTGAAAAAAAGCAAAACAAAAAATGAATGCATATTAACATTAAACATTATACCTAATTATTACCAACTATAAGACATCTTTACATAATAAGCTAGCCAAATTTTGGTTTCAGTTAAAAGCCCCTTTCATAAGTACAATCAATTTGCTCAAAGGGTTCTATTACATGAAGATATGATTGTGTTTTGATGTCATATGACCACCCTGATCAAGTTATATTTATGCAATTATATTTTTTAATGTGTTACAGTGTTGCATAAAAATTGCTTCAATGCAAGTGATTTAACTAACTTTTTCCCCACAGTTACATAATTGCACTCACTTTCTAAGTGTTGAAGTACTTGAAACCGAAACTCTGTGAATGCATGAGCGACAAGTTCAAGACGGTCAAGACTATATTTACTCACTGTAGATGTACTTCTTTAATTATTTATATATCAGAGAATTTCAATGATAAACTTATGAATGCATTTATGAGTGTGTTTTCTCCTGACCTCTGCACTGCAATTGATTTAAGGAATAACTGTCCCGCCCCGCATGTGATCTTTTTTTTAAACCACCTATCGATGAACCAGTACATTTATGAAGAAATAGCTGTACATTAACTATTTGTAATTTTATCTTGGACAAACAAATGTAAATATATAATACTGAAGCAATCAAACAGCATCATATACAACACATCATGTACATCTCTCAAATCAAGGATCAATTTATTTCCACAAAGTGTAACTGTTTCCAATTAATCCTTATTTCAGAGTTGTCCCTAAGAATTCAAATAGCAGGGAAAGGGGACCTTAAAAGAGAAAAAGCAGAACTGGGGTTCCTCTCCTAACAGGGGAGTGTGAGAAATACCAAAGAGCAGGGGGATGGGCATCATTATAATCGAGGAAATGCTCTGGCTCCTGAGTCTTAGGGACAACTTTTTTTTTCACGTTATTACATTACCTTATATATATATCGAACACAGTTGTCATACTTATGATAAATGCTACCTCTGACTGCTGATATACAACTTTTCAATTTGATTTCTTTGTAAATTGTTATACATGTAATACTGACACACTAAATGTAAATTCAAAGAAATATAGAAATATATTATTTACCACTAAAATATGAAGTAAATAAATATAACAACTCCTTCAAAACAAGGGCCAATGCAAACATGAATTTAAAAAAAAAACATTACTTTTACACACACTATCAATTAAGTTGTAAAGTTTTATGACCTCCTCCATATCATGACAGCTCAAGTTTAAAGTGTGATAGGATCTTATCTTGGTAGTTCTGTCTTCATAGAAGAAACTTCATGTTGTCATTTATATTGCATCAGTACAATAGATTGATTTTTTTTTTTAAAAAAAGGGGGGGGGCCTTAAAACTTTGCATTATTATAAAATTTTGCCTTCCTAACAAAATGAATATCATTTAATATAAAATTTTATATTTTGCAAAGTTTCTTTGTAAAGTTTTAAATGTTTTACATTTAACACGTGTTTGTAAACAAAAGAAATTACAGCTGATTACAACAAAAAATTATGGAATAACATGAAACACCTACTTGTCACGTAACACAGTCTGTAATTCTCGGACGTTGTCAGTAATTCTTAACTTCTTAAACTTCGGTCCAAAGTCAGTATCCTCATAATTATTGTGGTGAATATGAGAATTTTGGATTAAATCTGGCTCCATCGTAATCCGCGTGCGGCTTCCCGTAATAATGATTTCAAAGTTAGCTCGTTCTCAGAAATGAACGAGAATATTTATGTACGACTTATCTAAATGTGCTCACCGGAAGTGAAAATGCAGCTGAGGGAATGACAACTTTGAAATGACAGGCCTTGCCAAAATAGTGCAATGTAGACAACTTTCACACAAAATTTTGGATTTTAATCCACTTTACCAAAGGGGTGTACCCAAACACAATCTATACAGACAGTATTTACATAATTTCAAACCTGTAAGTAAACTTATGTCATTTCTGACGGACATCTACTTTAATTTGCTGTTTCAATTCATATGAAATGGAAATGCACTTTTAATTATTATTCCTAAACATTGCAGGGTCATGCTCCTGAGAAAGCTGTACTTGGAAACTTGCATCATGGAAATACTTTTCTGAAGGTAACGTTTAATATGTGTACAGTATTTGTAAAAATATTGGCAAGCATTGCACTGCAATTTATGCAAGCTGTAAAAACATCACATAGTCAAAGAGAAAATTCCTTCTTTGTACATTAATCCAATCATTTTTCTCGCAGTAACCTCTGAACCATCAATCATTTGCAAATTGCGTATGTTTACACATTAAACTTTGATCTTTGTAATTTTTTTTTAATGACAACTAGATTTGAGTATCCTTAGTAATCGAAAATCTAATTTTAAACATATAAAATGAAATGTTGCTTATATCATAAAGCATCAGTGGTTTCATTTTCTCATTCTTTATTTCAGTGCTCTTGGAATAATGCCGTTGTTGAGGCCAGAGTTTTATCTACAAAACCTTCAGCTAAGAAAGAAAATGAAAGAACGCCTGATGTCACAAATAAAGAAATTCGACGATATCTTCTTAGTTTTATCTGGCCTAAAGATGACTGGTTCATCAAACGGCGCATCATATTAACAACCTCTCTACTTCTTGGCTCTAAGGTTTGAATCATTTATTAAGATGTAGTGATAGGGTCGGATGGGAGAAATGGAAGAGGGAGGGGAAATTTGTATCCTTAAAAATGTAACTTTGTAATTGAATAATTTTGGTAAATAACCATTCTGAAGTGAAAGAAACGTTGCATCAAGTGTATAATTATTTAGTAGTTGATTTGTCTTTTTACCCTCCATATAAATATGATAAATAAATTAATCTGTTATACTTTTTGCTTTTATTTCAGGCCATCAATATCTGTGTACCATTTATATTTAAATATGCGGTAGATTACCTTGGAGATAAAGAAAACCTCCTTGACTTAACCAGTGCCCCGACTGCCATCTTGACAGTAGCTACAGGATCTATGTTAATCTGTAGGTTTGAAAATTTTGTCTATCTTTAGCAGTCCAGTCCAATACGAAAATTCGTAATATTACGAAAAAAAGTAAGATTACGAGAAAGCGTAATATTACAAGTTATCGTAATATAAAACTTATATTACAATTTTTCGTAATGTAGTTAAATTACAAATACGCGTAATATAGCAGATGTAAGAGACTATATTACGAGTCGTAATCCAAGACAAATTCAAGCATTGCAAGAAATTGAGCGGCGGGTAGCAAAATAACGTTTAATACGAGATGTCACAGGTGATAACTTGTACGACTCTTACTGAGATTTGAAAATGTGTATTTTTAAGAATTGCACGAACAGTTGAATTATGAGACGAAGGTGTGATTTTTAGGGTAGACTTCGCAAGAAAAGTAGGGAGTTCGGGTGATATAGACCAATGCAACATGCTTAAGCGAATATTGAAATTTACTGAAAAATTGGTCTTATGCTTGGGAAAATTCTTATAAAAGAATAATAAAAGAAATTGTCGACTCACCCATTGCTGGCGGTACTTTCTTCTTGAACTTCCACGCTTTCTGATAGGCGTAACTGAAAAACCGCGTGCTATCAGTAGCCGTGGAATCTGATATACCTGACGTCATACTTTGCTACCCACCACTCAGTTTCTTCCAATGCTTGAATTTGTCTTGGATTACGAAAACTCATAATAAAATGTTACAATCTGCTATATTACGCGTATAATTTAACATACATTCGAAATATTGTAATATAAGTTTTATATTAGGATAACTTGTAATATTACGAATTTTTGTATTGGACTGGACTGTTTAGTTTACTTCATTGTTGTTTACATTTATTTCAGGAAACATTGCTTGATTTAAGATTTGGGCTCATGCCCTAAAGTTTTCAAGGCATGTTATTTTCATTTCAATTTGGTCAAAATAATTAGGGAAGTGATTTTATGATCATGAGTAAAATGTCAAATTTTCTTAGAATATTTGGCACTTAATCATAGACATTCTACCTTCTTATGTATATGATTTGATTATATAAGATTTATTTTGGGAAAATAAAAATTGGAATGAACAATAAATGTATGTCATGCATTCAATAGCCTCCAGTAGTTATTTCCCTTGACAGATTTTGAATATAGATACAACAGCATAATTCCATCTTTTGAGTAATTTTAAAGTCTCAGAAATGTTTATTGTAGATGGTATTGCCAGAATTTTGTCCACCTTCTTCAGTGAGATGAGGAATTATGTCTTCACTGAAGTAGCCCAGAGTTCTATGAGGAAGGTTGCCACCAATATTCTGCATAACATGCTGTATATGGATCACAAGTTCCACTCCTCTAAAGACACCTCAGATGTGTGTGAGGCCATCAGCAGGGGCACAGAGTAAGTAAACATAATGTACTTTGATCACAAGTTCTTCTCCTTCAAGGCACCTCATGCCTCTGATGCCATCAGCAGGGGGCACAGAGTAATAAAGTTAACATACTGCCTCCAAAAATTTAAAAGTTTTGAAATTATTTACATGTACATGTAATATATGTAAGACTCCAAAGTCCGATGGTGACGCCAAAGTCCTGCCTCCAAAAATCCGATTAAAAGTTTTTGAAATAAAGTGCGATGGTTACATGGTGTGTACATGTAATATATATTTCTTTATTCAAAATCCATTCTAATTTCTTTAAAGATTGCTTTTTGTTTTCACCCACCTTCTTACACCATTCGAGTGATAAGGGTTAGTCCTTGAACACAATCGAACCCACCCGAGAGTTAAGGATGTTGGTTGCTATGATATTTATTATTCCATTGTTCGGTAGTTTCGCACCTACATCCAAAAGACGAAGTGTAGTCTTTGTCTTTATGATATTTTGTATTTATTCATTGGCATGGCGAGGCATTGCATTTTTGCGCAGTAGTACTATGTCGACATAAACGTTTATTGTTTTCAGCACCATCGGGGTTTGGCGCAGACCATCGGACTTTGGCGTGACCATCGGAAATTGCACTTGTCACTTTATTTCTTAAAGATTGTGCTTCTTTCTTTCAGAGGAATGAACACAATGTTAAGGATAAAAAAGTTTTGCTTGTGTTTAAAAAAGCATATAAAAAAATTAAAAAAGCAATTTTTATAAATATTATCTTAATTGTTTTGACAGGGTTATAGGTTTGGTTTGACCTATGCAGCGATAACCTGTGGAACCATCATTACCTATGTTGTGTTTACTCTCCAATATACAGAGAAAAGGTAGAGTGTAACAGAATTTGAATTTTTTTTGTCCATAGAGATGCTTGCTGAAAATTATTTTCAATTTGCTTCACTGCCATTACATTGAAGATATGGACTTAATATTAACAGTCAGTGTGATTATTCATTAGGCTGAATTAAAATCATTGCAGTAGTAATGATTTTCTTTTTAGGAGTAAAATTAGGCGAAATATGAACATGGCTAAAAATGCAACTAGAAGTAAAGCAACAGAGTGCCTACTGAACTATGAACTTGTAAAGGTAATGAGACAGAAATATACTAGTAAAAGGCAAAGGGCAATAACTATTATTACTATCACCATTCAAGATGCAAAATTAAGATCACAAAACAAATCTTATTCGTGATTTTAGCTCTTCAACAATGAGGACTATGAAGCTAAGGTGTACGACAAATTAACTGGGAAGTATATGGACCTCAGACAGCTTACGATGAAGACCCTGGCCTTGTTAAACAGTGGACAGAATCTGATATTCTCCATCGGTCTCACTGGTGTCATGGCGCTGACAGCTCAAGGAATTACACAAGGTACTACAATGTACATGGCATAGATATAATAGATAAATTACAATCACTAAAAAAATTTACAATAGATAAATTAAAATAAATAAAAGAAATTTACATGTATCTTGTGAAATTTATCAGCAATTTGGTAAATATTTCTTTAAGTAAACATTAGTGCAACTTTATGATGCTTAAAGTTTTGATTTATGTTAAATTCATCATACTTCCCTCACAATGTAGATTTGACCATTTTTTTTTTCCTTTGAATATACAATAAGTAAACATTGTGAATCATTATTGATAGTCAATGTACCTATAACTAGATGAAAATGTATGTCTCACTTTGCAGGTACTGCCACCATTGGGGATCTGGTGATGGTCAATGGACTCCTCATTCAGCTCTCCACCCAGCTAAACTTTGTTGGATCCACCTACAGAGAACTGTCCGAGTCAAACATTGACATGAAGGAGATGTTCAAGCTCATGAAAATGGAGACCAGTATCAAGGTTTTGAAAATACATACTCTTATTATTATGTTAATTTCTATATAATTATACAAAATTATTTTGTGGTAAAATAAAAATAACTTTTAAAATGTGACAGATCAGACATGTGTCTGAGCTGATTAACAACTTTTACCCCAAAAGTTTTATGCTGTGTACCACGGTATTTCACATGAATTATCAGATTTTATATTCTGTAGAAATCATCTGCCTTGAAGTGTTTGTATTACCATCATTTTTCACCTGCTGTTTTTCAGAGCCCTCCGAATGCCCCGCCTTTGGTTGTTTCCCCCGAGTCTGCCTCTATCGAGTTTGACAATGTCCGCTTCGCTCACACGGAGGAGAGGCAGATTCTGGACGGATTATCGTTCTCGGTGGAACCAGGAAAGAAGGTGGCCATTGTAGGAGGCAGTGGATCAGGGTAGGGGGATATCTGTCTTATATGGACTCAGATGTTATAAATATAGCCAAGACTGCCATTTGAAGTATATTCTATTTATTTTCATAGAATGAAAATAATACCGTATAAGTAGAAATTTTAGCGAGGATTTAATTTTGGCATTATTAACGAGGGTGCTTAGATCGCTAAAATTACATATTGCTAAAAATTTATTGCGTTTTATTTGTAATAGGTTCTTTAATGAACATTTTTAAATCTCTAAAATTACATCTCGCTAAAAATAAAATACCAGTTTTTAAGGACAAATCGCTAAATTTGCGTCTCGCTAAAATTTCCACTTATACAGTAATAATAATGACTTCTTTTTTCTTTATTCCAGGAAGTCCACCATTGTAAAGATGCTGTTTAGGTTCTTTGACCCTGACGAAGGGAGAATCCTCATTAATGGACAGAACATCAGGGACCTTGACCTACATAGTGTCAGGCAGGTTATTGGAATTGTACCACAGGTAAATTTCATAGTTAAAACATATATTTGTGAACACTTTTGTAGTAGGATGTTATAAATAATACTTTATGTAAAGAAAATGATTTATACATGTACGTATGATAATTTATTTTACATATGCATGTATTTCTTATTATTATATAAAAAAGAACCAGAAGTCTCTGTCGAGACTGTAGCTCTACTGGTTTCTACTTAATAGAACAAAGGAAGAGAAAAGTAGCAGTTGGGACTTGAGACTTTAAATCAGCAATAAATAGAAAAATTTTCATTGCCACTCATCAAAATGAAAACCAATGCACAGAATTAAGTATCTTAGTAAAGTCTACTTGTGTGCCAAGTTATATTGAAATCGGACTAAAACTCTAAGAGGAGTAGCATTTTGAAAGATCTTCACAGAAATTTCTATTTTTAGTAACCACGGCAACATCGTTCATCGAAATGAAAAACCGATACACAGAATTATGTATCTTAGTGTAGCAGGGCTCGAGCTGTGATTCGCCATTGTCGCCAATTGCGAATTTTTTTCAAAAGTGGCGAAAAGAAATTCATAAGTGGCGAAAATGAATTTTTTAGATGTACCATGTACAAATTTTGTGTAGACCTGATTAGCTCCTTTGTTTTTTTAATGTATACAGATAAGTCCCTCTGTTTATTTAATGCAGCAGAGGTGTGAAAACTGAAACCTACATGTAGGAAATCACGTCTCGCTTGAACGAACACAGCTGCACAGGTAATTATCCTGGAGCAATAAACGGTCACAAAATTGCTTGAAATAATATAATTTGGATTAAATAAGGTGGGATAAAATATTATTAGGAGATATAGTAAGTAAATAAAAGATTTTTATCAACAAAATCAGGATCTATGTACTAGATCGTTTTTTTAACCGAAAGTAGGGAAACATTAAAAAAAATGTAAAGAATGGCTTCAAATTTTACAAAATGAAAATTGAAAAATGTGTACATTATACCATAAGCTGACATAGAGTGAAAAAGAAATTTTTGAAAACAGAATTATCTAAGAAGATAACACTGATTTATTTACATGAGCTTGCATATTAAACCCTTGGCACACAAGTTGTGAAAATAAAGTCAAGTTTTAAACCTTATTTTCATTACCTTTTAATAACTTCTTTTCACAATCAATTAATGAAATGATGAAAATTTCCATTTCTAAAAAATGTCATATATTTTCTATTAGGTCTGTAGCCCCCCCCCCCCCCCCCTTCCTAGACAAAACAAAAAATATAATAATCATGAGGAGATTTTCTGTCAAGAGTTGGCTGATATCAATTCAATATCAAATTAATTGTTTAATTCCAACAGTACTTTTTCTTTCTTTTTTTAAATGGATACTGTAAGCTTTAAACATTACAATTTTAAAACAATGTCTGTGATATATTTGTAACAGGAAACCATTACATATTAATAAAAAAAAATTGAATAACATTAAAGTGCATTGCATTGTCGAGAAATCAGATGTAAGTATGCCTTTCCTTTTGTCGCGAAAAGTGGCGAAAAACATTTTCGGTCCAGTGGGAGCCCTGTAGTGTAGTCTACTTGTGTGCCAAGTTATATTGAAATCGGACCAAAACTGTAGAAGGAGTAGCATTTTGAAAGAATTTCACAGAAATTTCCATTTTCTAGTAACCATGGCAACACTGTTCATCGAAATCAAAAACCGATGCACAGAATTATGTATCTTAGTGTAGTCTACTTGTTTGCCAAGTTATATTGAAATTGGACTAAAACTGTAGGAGGAGTAGCATTTTGAAAGATCTTCACAGAAATTTCTATTTTTAGTAACCACGACAACACAGTTCATCGAAATCTAAAACTGTAGGAGGAGTAGCATTTTGAAAGAATTTCACAAAAATTTCTATTTTTAGTAACCACGGCAACACCGTTCATTGAAATCAAAAACCGATGCACAGAATTATGTATCTTAGTGTAGTCTACTTGTGTGCCAAGTTATATTGAAATTGGACCAAAACTGTAGTCCTTGTGCATTTTGAAAAATTGTTTACAGACAGACAGAAGAAGGACGGACGACGGACGCATTACTATCGCATAAGCTCTTCTGGTCTCTGACCAGTAGAGCTAAAAATGGTGATCTTTAAATATATTTTTCTTCCTAGGACTGTAGTATGTTATTTAATGAGACCCTGATGTATAACCTACAATATGGAGACCACAAAAAAACTCAGGAACAAATCATGGAGGCAGCTACCATGGCACAGATCCCTCCCAAACTTCTCTACAACATGGAGATGAAGTTAGGGGAAAGGGGAAACAAACTGTCAGGTGAGAATTTTATCTCCTCCAAAACTTCTATTATTCTACACATGGAGACGAAGTTAGGGTAAAGGGGAAACAAACTGTCAGGTGATAATTTTTTAAAATATATCCTATTTAATAGTATATTGAAAGCAGTCATAGGTTTTGCTGTTGTTTTTTCTAGAAAAGTTAAATTGCAAAAGCTCTTGTAAATTTTAATTGGTGATTTGTTATATTACATTGCTACAAAAGGGAGATAACTCTTTCATGTTTATCATAGGAGGAGAGCAACAACGAGTTGCCATTGCCCGGATGTTGGTTAAGGACCCCATGATTATAGTTTATGACGAAGCAACGTCATCTCTAGATACTATCACAGAACAGGTATGTTTATCATATGAACACAAAGGATAAAAAAAAAATTTACAATCAGTGGCATAGAAGTAGATTCCATTAAGGCATCAAGGCAACTTAATTGACTTGAGTAAATTTTTGAAGCAAAGAAGTATACATGTATTCCCAAGTAAAGGAAAGTTTCAAATCTCCTGAATATTTTTCTCATGTGAATAAATGTTGGTTTAAATATGTACTCTTGAAATTTTGAATATAGTTGTGTACTTGTCCTTGTGTGTTTTAGATGATTCTATCGACCTTGAAGCGAGTGACAGAGGGTAGAACTACCCTAGTGATAGCTCACAGACTCTCTACCATTGTGGATGCTGATGAAATTCTAGTGATACGTAATGGCAGGGTCGCAGAGAAAGGCAGCCATCATGAACTCTTAGCTAACCCTGATAGTCTGTATGGAAACTTATGGACAAAGCAAAGTCACATAGCACAAGGGAACGTGCCAGTTTTAGATGATGTTAATTAAATTATTTGTTGCTGATTTTAGTGATATTTTTTAAGTTGGATAAAATTAAGAAATTTGAACTGGTAGCTATAGGATATCTGATGTAACATGCTTTTTATTTTGCTTGTCATAAGCTTAAACAAGGTGCATTTTTTAAACGTGTATTAACTTTAATGTAATATTAATTTTTTATATGATTTCAGATACACCAGTAAAATTAACACTTCTTTTCTCATTGGGCATTTTACTATAAGGTCTGCCAGATGTGCCAATTTGAATTTTGTTTCTGATTTCAATCAAATTATACAGATGAAAACTATATAGGATGAAATTATTGATAAAAATGTGGAAGTGTTTTATTTATTGTATTGCCTAATGGCTATTGCTTTTATCTAATGAACACCACAAGCTAATCTTTGTACATTTATGTTGAACATAAATTTACATGCTTAATTTAGAAAAAGAAAAAATATATCCTTTATTATGTAAATACTTTCAGCAATTTTACTCCTTAATTGTTGTTTATTTTTCAGAAAAAGGGTTAAACAGAAGGAAAATAACTTTTGTAGTTTTTTTTTTTTTTTGCTCAACTTCTGAGAGATTTATGAAAACAAGCCATTCTTTGATGGAAAGGGCTTAATTATTTATTTCAATGTCTTCAGAAAAATTGATTGAAACTGTCAGTGATTTATTCCAACAGGCAATAGAACATTCTGAATTTGGTAATGTTCTTATTTGAGGTTTATTTCTCCACCCTTTATTCCAAAAGAAAATCAGGTTTCTTATTTCAGAAATATTGCTTGTGTTTGATGTAAAAAAGAGTTCAGTTCAATCTACCTGTGTTTCAAACTATGAAACAAAGATTAAGTCTGTTTTCAATAAATCATTACCTGTAAAAAGCAGCATGTCTGTGTAAAATAATGTGTTGTTCTGTAATTGCAATGAATAATGGCACCTGTATTGACAAATATTTTCCACTGATACAATTTGTGGCAGATTCTGAGTTAGGTTGACATTCAGGCTATGAGAAAGCAAAACGGTTCTGATTCACTACTCCAAATTTCGTTACTTATGCATAATTCACAAGAATAAATTAGATTAAGGATTGAATAACATGGCATTGTATTTATTTCTTGTTTATCAAATATACTGAGAACTTGTTGATTATGGTACATAGGAGAATGATAATTTGAACTCACAACTAAATGAGACATTGGTGAGTTGATGGTCTGTTCTGATGGTGCCCAGTAGGTTTAATTTTTAAGAACAGAAGCTGAAGGTGACCAATTTCTGGAAATGAAGGCTTAATCTTCATGAAAACAATCAACAATATTTGTTTTCCCTTTTTGATAAAAAAAAAAATTGACCATGATGGACGTCTGAAAGAATTGGTAAACTATAATCTGAATATTTTTAAGAAAGACCTGAAGAAAATACAGCTTCCAACCATTCAGAAACCAATAATTATATAAACCTGTGTGCAATTTTCAAAGATAATTTTTGGCAATTTGATTTTTTTCTATAGTTTTATGTGCCATATATGCCCCCTGTTGACATATAATAGTTTTGAGATTGGAAATTAAGGATGTACAGTATATTTTTTATTATGCTGTTAAAAATGTACACTATATTTTATTATTATGCTGTTAAAAAAACGTTGTTACGCTGCATATCATATATTATATAAGTTTTTTTTAAATATTCTATAGCATTTTTTCTAAATGAAAGAAGAAGAAATTAATATGATGAACTTCAATCTTGTTATCACTTTAAAGTTTCCGCCCAAGTGTTGCCTACGTCTTTGATTGCACTCGCAGAAAAGTTCACTTTCATAACAAGCACAGCATATTAGCAGGTAGGAGGCAAAATTAACTCAATTTATATCCCACTCGTCATTAGATTAATTATTCCAGTCTGCTTATCAAGGTTATATTGATTAGATTTTAGATCATTAATGGAACGCGTGTAAATACTGAAACTATATACATGTAGTTTCTTTCCTTCTTATCTCGATCTGGTAATATTCTAATTTTTAACCAAGTACGAAAAACATTGCATAATTTTTAATGAGATGAGCTTACAAGGTATAGAATTTGAAGACCACGGAACATTATCTGACAAAATTGGAATCATGCAGCTTACGTCATTAATTTCCATCTGTTGCAGACAAAATATTTTACAAAAGACAAGGAAATGGATAAGTAGAATTCAACACGAATGTCTGAGAAAACACTTTTGTGATGTCTAGAGATATTTTACTTTCTTCTTCTTTTCTGAAAAAAAAAATGTTTGACAATCAATAAGGGGAAGGGGTGGTGTACCAATCTCAAAACTTATTTATTTCAAAGATCCTTCAACCACCTCCATCAAATAGGAAACAAATGGTAATTCTCTTTATTTCTTGTGACCGATCGGCAGGGGATGCTCACCCCTCCGTGGCACCTTATTCCACCCCTAATGCTTTGGAGGTTCGTGTTTGCTCCGCTTGAATTCTATTTTGTATTGTTTTATGGACTCTGTTCGTTATCTCCACATTTTTATGCGCCCGGATTGATAGATCCGGGGCGTATATTGTTTTTGTCCTGTCTGTCTGTCTGTTTGTTTGTCGGCAAACTTTAACCTTCGCCATTTTATGTTTTTTCAAATGACACCAAGATCAATGACCTTGTGACCTTGACTGTGATATATATGCTAAAAATATCGTTTTAAAAATTGTGTTGCCGCCGGGCGCATAGTGTTTCACCACATTTTTCATTCTTGAAAAACACTGGACAAAAAAGTGTTGTATATTAGTGTCAAACTACCTTATTCCAAAAAGTCAAAATTATTTGTCTTTTGTACAGTAACTGTGTTTCCGAGTGAAAATGTATTTCAAACTAGAATTCCCATCCATTTTCCCCCCATAGACGTCCATGTCAAATTGTATCCGTCCATTTCATTGTTTACCATCAAATGTTTTGTAACAGATGGAAATGACGTAAGCTGCACATTTTTAATCTTAATTGCCATTTACTGTTCCGAAGTCTTATCAGTTCACCAAGTGTCGCCCTGCTCTTAAATTAAGGAGTCAACTAAATACAGAAGACCATCTGCTTAATTTCTTTCGCTGCCTTATTTCATATACAGTTGCGCATGTTTTAAAAAAGAAAACATATTTTTTTGTCTTAACCAGATCTCAGTGACCAGTTTTAATGTGACACTGGGCATTTTTGGATAAAAGCTAGAGACTCTTATTTCTTTTAATGAACTTATGGGATATAGCAAAATATGTTTAATTAAAAAATATTCTCAGGACGAACTGAATTTGAAAAGATAAATTAAGGGTGGAGTTAAAGAGTTATAATAAGACAACAGACAACAGGTTAATTAAGTTTGTCAGTTGCTTTATTAAATCATATTCAAGAATTGCTATAGTAAATGTTCGGTATATCTGAAGTAGTTGAAGGCAGTAAACTCATTAAGTGAAAAAAAGAGAGACTTAAACATTGCAAATCGGGAGCAGAACAGACATGAACCTTCAAAAACTTCAGAGTTGTAAAGATCCGATTAATGATCGATCTAATGAAAAATCTATATGCATAAACCATACAGATATATGAAGAGGACAGAGAACACGAGTCTCTGGAAAATCCAGGTGTGGGATGAGGTGCCTAGGAAGAGTGAGCATCCCCTGCTTACTGCTCAAATCAAATCTATAAACTGATCAAGAATACGTGCAAACATGATATATATATGTATATATATATATATATATATTATATATATAAATAAAGTCAGCCATGCACAATACAATCCAATGATAGGTTATATTTGCTAACAAGGTCCTTATATAGACCACATAGTTTTCGAAATGCTGATTTTTGAAATACATGTAACATCAATTTATCATTGAGTAGTATGCTTTGTTTTAAAAAATCTTGTTCTCTTAACAAGCTCCGAGTCTTGAGTCTGCGAATTCTTTCTTTTTCAAAAGTACTAGTAAGTAATGCATGATATTATATTCCATATAATTTTCCCCTGTCGGACCGTCTTTCTGTCTGTCTGACTAGATGTTTCTTTGTTTGTTTGCAATTTTTTAACCTTGACCATGACATTTGATTGGTTGGAGCTATGGTTTTCAAATTCCAAAATTTAATGTGTATTTATCGTGTAAATACCTTTCCATGGATATTTTTATTACCTTTGTACTTTCAAATTTGAGTTTGTCCCACTTTTAAAAACTTCAGTGTGTTTCACAAATACACTGTACAAATTTATTTGTTTTATATCATATATAAAAGAGGGGCCATAATTATTTCTTTTTACTACCATCATGATTGTGTCATGCTTAATTTCAAGATTAAAATTCACTGTTACAGGGTTATTTTCGCCCCGTGTTATTTTCGCCTTTTTGCACTTACGAACAATTTTGACCCGCTTTAAATTCGCCGTCACAGTTCTGTTTAAGAAATTAGACGTTTTCGTTGAATTCGCCCAGTTTTAATTTTGCCCACCTGTGATTAGGGATATATGATATATACATACATGTAACTAGATGATGAAAACACGAGTAGAATAACCAGCACAACTTGCAGTATGTCATTTGCAAGCAACTTGTCCGAAAATTCCAATACAATAGACATTTAGATTTAAAGTAGAGGGTTTATATAGGAACTTAAATGGTAATGTATATTCTTGTTTTGTTATCAACATCTCTGTTCTTGTCGGTATCCTCAAGTCCTCAAAGTCCCATAAATGGTCAGATTAAGTGTCTGAATATTACTGACTTATAACGTAGTTTCACAAACCTTCTTCTATTTTGAGCAACGTTTGCCAACAACATTGAGTAGCAAATGGGTCAGAAGGTTTGCAATTATACCAGGTACACGATTAGTTTTGTTGTCTTTTGCCATCGTTGGCACCATTTCGATAGAAAAGATACATTGGAGTTTAGCTTGCATTCTTCTCACAATAATAGTAAAAGTAAAGAGAGACGGACAAATATTTCGATCACTGTAGTTTTCATCTAAATTTTTCCAATCATTGGATTCGATGAATATGTCATTAATTACAGCATCTGGGTATTTAGTGCTTCTACAATAACAAAGCTCAAGATATGGCAGACAAGATATATGATACCTACACTGTATTAGTCATATTAATCAGACAAAATTAATGTTGCATCGAATCAAAAGCAAGGACAGTAAGAAACAGTTCAATAAAACCAACAGTTATGACTTTTATTTCATCCTTCTGATGATCATTATTGTCACAATGTAAGCCACATACAGATCCCTCTTGCCGTGATTTCCTAGAAACTTGTAAATTGTGCAAAAAATGTTTTCGACTCTAATGCTTATCTTAAGCTAAATGACAAGAGAAAATTGGAAAATACATTGGAATACATTAAATATATGCATGGAATTCTTATTGTCATTTATGAAGTATGACAATAAAAAAATAGCTTACTCCAATTTTCTT